ATGAGATGAGGATCGTGAGGGCGTCTTCTGTACTATGCTGTTTTCTTCCGCCCATATGGTTTGGCGAGATAATTTGATAGCTTTCAGCCCAGTGGGTAAGCCGGTTTGTGACTAATTTTTCAAAGATTTTACCTAAGCAGCTGAGGAGGGCGATGGGTCTATAGGCGTTGGGATCTGAGTACGAGTCTTTGCCTGCTTTACGAATGATGATCGTGATTGCTGTCCTCCACACATTTGGGAAATGGCCAAGTTCAAAGCATGAATTGAATAGTCTACACATTTCTTGTTCAATTGCTGGTAATGCTAGTTTTATCAGTTCGTTTGACACTTTGTCTCCACCTTTAGCTTTTCTGTTTGGCGTGTTAGTGACGATCTTTTCCAGTTCGGTTGGTTTAAGCAGTGGGAAGGAGCGTGGGACTCTTTGTTGGCGATCCCATAAATCTGTCGGTATGTCAGAGAGATCGGCTTCGATATGGGCAATTGAGGTACCTTTGAAGAGCAGTTCGGCTTGTTCGTTGATATCCGTGGCTACTGATCCATCCTGCCGTAGGAGCGGAGCTACTTCACTGGAAGAGTTAGGTTTGGTGTATTTGTAGGCTTTAAAGGTTGAATTACCTGAACTTTCCGCTAAGAAAGTTTTCCAATGATTAGTCTTGGCCAGGATGATTTGGACTTTGAGGAATTTTTGCCATTCTGCATAGCATTCGTGTGCTTCCGGGAGATTGGACTGGATCATCCACCGTCGAGCTCGGTTTCGATTTTTGATTATAGGGTTGAGTTTTTCCTTGTCCCACCAGCTTTTGAATTTACGTAGGTTTGTCTTGACTTTCTTACCTTGGGCTTGAGCTGTTTCTAAGAGTATGTTGGAAAGTGTGATTGCGCCTTGGTTGATGTCTTCACCAGTCACATAATTTTCTGGGAGGAGATGGAGTTTACCTTGTATTTTTTCGTGGAACAGTTTCTCGTCTATGTCAGTGTGTTTTATGTTGATGTGATGTTTGATTGGGGGTAGGAAAAACATATCAAGGAATGTGATTACCGGGTAGTGGTCTGAAGACACACTATCTGTGATTACTTTACAGCTTGAAATTTTGTTAGTGAGATTCCAGCTTGCCCATACTAGATCAATGGCTGTTGGGGTTGTGCCTGGAGAGAATCGAGTTGGGATTCCTTTCGGAGGGATGAGTTTGAGGCCTTTGTTACTGAAGATTGTTAATAGCTTTTTTGCTTGTGAGTCGGTGCGCTGATACGTTGGAGGGTTCCATATTTTATGATGGAGGTTGGAGTCAGTTGTGAGGAGTGTTGGGATGTGTCTGTTGTGGTGGTTGCGTAGCCAGTTTTCTAGCATTGCTAAGCCTCTTAGGGAGTTTGGCGGGTTGTACCAGGAAATGAGTCTTAGGTTTGGTATTTGGGTTTCCGGGTGTCTGATTTCGATGCTGAGGATGATGTCTGACCGGCTAGGGAGTATGTTGATTTGTGAGTAGTGTATGAGTTTTGAGATATAGAATACAACTCTGGGTCTTTCTTCCCAACTTGTGGGGTAGTAGTCATATGCTGAGATTCTATGCCATGCCTCGTGTGTAGGGAAGGACAGTGATCGTGAGTTGAACCAGGGTTCCTGTAATGCTAGAGCTGTGTATTGAGTTTTTGTGAGCGTCTCAAGGGTTATTGTTTGTGATTTTTGACAGTTGAAATGGAGGATAGAAAAATTTCTTAAACAGTTTGGGGTATCTGATGATTCTTGGGGATCTTGGGTGTTTTCATCTTGAAAATCAAAATTCGGGGGTTGGGGTGGAAAGTTGTTCAATGGGTTATTGGACTTATAGCTCATTTTCGTTCTGTGGAGGGGGAGTTAGCTTGAATGTTGTCTTTCTGAGTGGGCAAAGAAGACTTTTTGGTGAATGATTATACTTAGGAAGGTATCTGTCGATTTTTTCTTGGGTTCTCTGGCTGTCAAAACTTACACATCTTGCACACACTTGTTCTGTGTCGTTATTCGCACAGTCTCTAGTATTGTTAGGGTCTCCACAATTGGCGCAATAAGCATCATTATTGCATGAGGTGTGTGTGTGGTTAAGATCTAGACAGTTAAAGCACATCGTGGGACCCTGAGTGTATTGTTTGCTCTTTAACCTGTTTCCATCAGCATATATACTACCTTTTTCAATTTTCTGAGCTAGGTTTTTATCGAGGAAGTTGTTAATGATTGTACCGTGGTTTTTCTTTTCGTTGTTTGGGTCTTTGAGCCAACAAGCTGAGTGGATTGTGTCTCGTGGGATGTCGTTTTGTTGGCTTATTTTGTCCAGGAACGATTTGTCTCCTACTTCGAGGTCAGCTGGGGCAAAATTAAATAGAATCGGGTATCTAGTTTGGTTAGTCTCAAAATCTTTGTGAGCTAGTTTTGTCCATATATGTTTGTTTTCTAACAGCCAGTTCTTGATTAGTTGGTTTTCCATATTCATTACTATGTCGCCGGACTTCAGGATAGCTGCTCCTTTAATTTTCACCGGTTTACCATTGATGTTTGCGTTGATTGATTCCAATGCTTTGTTGATCTGGGTGACAATTTCACCATTTTTCATGTTCTTGAAGGGTTCTTTGTCCGGGCTCTTGTGCATGATTAACGTTGCGGTTTTGAATTTATTGATGTCTGAGTTTTTAGGTGGTGGTCTGGGTGTCGTTTGGTTTTTCGAGCTGTGTGATGCTTGTGGGTACGGATTGGTCCAAGCGTGGGGTTTGGGGATTAGGCCGGGCGTTGTAAGTGAGGGGTTTGGTGCCTTGTCTTTAACTTGAGTTTGCGATTGTTTGGTTTTTAGGATGCGAATTTCTTTGCGTAAGTCTTGGATCGTTTTGTTGAGCTCGTTTATTGTTTCTTCGAATCCTTTCATCATACGGAGCATGATTTGGATTAGACCATCGTTGGGTTGAGGGGTACCGGATGAAAGTGATCTTAGGTCGCTCATCATTGAATCTTCTTTGCTCAATTGTAGGAAGGTCGGGTTTTTCGGTGGGGGGCGGTCAGGTTCGCCTCCTCCCGTGTCCGGCGGACGTTTTTGGGGCATCAGGGGATGTGGTTGGTTTGGTTTTGGGGATATAAAGGTGAATGATAAATCGATAAGATATGAAGCCTTGAGTGGATGGATTGCTTAGAGCATCTCCTACACCACGAAGACACTTCTGCGCAGAAGGACATCCAAGCCGTCCAAGATCCGATGCTCAACTCCGGGTCCCCAACTGGGGTATCTTTTGGGCGTCCTTGAGCGTTGACGTCTTCAGCACACTCCCAGGATGTCCCGATGGCTTTCAGATCTTGGACACTTGAGATTTCCTTAGCTCTCGGCCTGACCTGGACTCCCCTATTGAGGCTGTCTGCGGAGTGAAGCCTGGATGACCTCACAGAACCTGAGATCATGACATCTGGTAGATTCCTTCAGGTGTGCGTCAGGTTGTCTGCGACCTTCAACTTGGCTAGGATGTCCATCTGTGCACTGACCACTCATGAAAGGAAACTTCTGGAAAAAAAAGGGAAAGTCAAAAGAAAGGGAGAAAACGGGGGGAACAGGAAGCAACTTCAAAAAACAAATCCACTTTCAATCTCCATCACACCCGGTTCAGACTGACCTTTCTATTTTTCTCATCATCGCTACTTTTGAATCAAACACAACTTTCCACCCTCCTTGTTTCAACACTAACACCCCTTCCCCACACTGTCATTCTCAACTCCCCAATCTCATCAATCTTCTTGAATCGATCCCTTCCTCAGAGCAGGACCCAGGAATGCTCCAGCAAAGGTATGTGACGAAATTTCTGACCTTGGAGGACCTCAACTCCGGTCGAAAAAAAAAGGTCCTGATTCTGACCTGTTTTCGTCACATACCTCACCCGAAAAAGGTTTTTTGGCCCCGGCCCCGAAACCGGGAATATGGCCCCGTTTCCCGCGCAAACACAGGGCCAGGTGAGTACCCAGCCATGTTTTGGCTGTCACCCGACTCTCAGAAGCACGTGGTAAGAGTTTTCATTGCACAAAAACATCCCTCATGATTTGTATGGAACATAAAAAATAAAGAATGTGAGTAGATAATGAATGTGATTTGATGATGAATGTAACTCGATAACTTGATCAGAAAGTAATAGACCAAAAAACCGAAAAGACAAATTATTCATCTCCTTCATGGACGCTTGACTTCAATCTTTGTCGTTCTTGATTGTACTTTTGAATAAGTTGAGAGATATCTATATCTCGAAGCATTTCCCGGATAACCGCAGGGATTGAATAACAACCCTCTGTAACTAACGCAAAGTTTGAGCCATCGGAAGGCCTAAAGACATACAGGATATCTGAGGCATCCAGGAGAGCATAAGTCCAGCTGTTTCTGACCCCCTCTTGAGTAGACATTGCCACCGGGTAAGCTGGATTATAATGCAATACTTGTACACCAACATGTGACAACTTTCGTCTTGACGTCGCGCTTGTCACGAACACGTGTTTTCCGGCCACATGCTCGTATACCACTATTGTACGCGCAAGATGGAGTGTCTGAACCCAAAATAAACAAATGAAAAACCAGCGATTGGTCACATTTTATAAGAAAACATTAAACATACATTTTTTTTGATGGATATGATGAATTTACCTGGCTCGATTGGGTTTTCAACCCCAATGGAGCCTCCATCAAGTAATTGTTGCATGTCCAAAGTGCGATCCATGCTTGTGTTCGTGGTAATCCCTGCAAGATTAATCTTTACATACATACTCCATCGGTGTCGACGAGCGGCTCCAGCTGGAGTTCCAGAGAATGTCTTCATGAAGACGGCTATGGCCTTCGAGCAAGCACTGGGTTTCATGCTACCGTTGTTGGTAGTTGAATTGAGATCCTGCTTTGAGTGATCAACGCCGGTAAGCATTTGGTCGTTGCCTTTATTCTTAGCACCTTGACTATCGTGCCGTTTTCGTATCTCCAGTATGTTCTTTTCGTGAAGTTTGTTGCCGTCAATGAGGCTCAGCAAAGCTTCATCGCCAATTGCTGAAGTAGGTCCATTTGAATTGTGAGGCTCGTCTATTGGTCAAGATATTAGCATATTAGCATGTTATTGATTAAATAACATGCTAGAATAAGTAGTACGTACCACTACTGTTGAGAAGGTTTGATATCGACATTGCCGCATTTTAATCACTTTGTCATCAAGATTCTCCGGCACTTGATCAAGCATAACATTTAGAAGGTTCTGCTCCTTTGTCAACCTGGCTGCTGCTTTGAAAGCCACGTCCTCGGGAAATTCGCCACGTTCAAAGTCATAGTTAATTTCATAGTCCTTCGCCGCACTAGTTGAAATATCTAAAATGTAAAGACAGTAATCAGCTCACAAATCGAGATGAAGATCTAATCCTTCATATCACATACCTGGAAACTGTTCTTGACTTTGGTCGACAGTTGAGCTAATAATTCCTTCTATATCAACATCCAAATTGTTGAGCTCGACTCCAACCATACCGCAAAAATCAGCCAAACTGAGAGCACGTTTCTTAGCAATTTTTAGATCTTCTGTTATATCTTCATTTGAGGGAAAGTCACGAAGGTGATCAAGATTATCTGCATTTTCTTCATGTAAATCAATTTGATACCCCGCATGCAGGTGTTCCGAAGGTGGCATTTTCATTCGGCCACTCATGATGCTCTTGACAACCGCAATAATCTTCGGCATCATGAGACGAGCATCAAGAACACTAAAATTAGGTGAAATTACTCTCATCCATCCGAAGATATGCTCGCAAGCTTCGGTGCCATGTTTCCAGGGACAAAATGGGAAATCGGCATAATATTCTCAATGGGAGATGATCAACGCCAACAGGGATTTGGCAAGGGTTGAGAAGATCTTGAAGCTTGCGTGAGAAATGCCGTTGAGATGGAAACTCATCAAACCATCTGTCTCGGTCTGACGTTGGAGAAGGTGTTCCTTCCACATCCGTAGGAAGAAGCCCGCCGTCCATACGGACCGAATTCGTTCTCGATGACCGATGTAGAACTTAAAGCTCAACAAGAGCTTTACAGAGCTTAAAGAGGGATAATCTACTAATAAAGTGTCTAGTAGAAGTTGCCTAAGACTGCCTCTTTGAAAGAACCAACACGGGGTTTTGCTGAATTCTTTGGGATAAGGCACCAGAGAAATATGTCTCAATACTTAATTCAAGTATTATTCCCGTGAGTTTTAGAAATAAAGAAATCTCAACACTATTGTAGTGTTATTCCAATTTGAACACAACAAAACACAATTTTAATTACTAGCAAGCAACAATCAGTTTGATTGTTATTCCAAATGAAGACTTGTAGTCTTATCACACGTAAAGAAATCTCTCCTTTGATGTAAAGGGGCTATTTAGTGAACTTAGTACTGGTAAAGTAATTTAATAATGATTAAAAACACTCTAACAAAAGTATAAGATGAGTAAAAAGGGGAACAAAGGCCCGTAAAATCCTTAACAATAGTATATAACCCTCCAACAACCTTCAACAATGGTCAACAACCTCCAAAAGCCCTCAAAAAACCGTCAAAATCAACAGAGTATCCTCCAATGTAATCATATGATGTCATAAAGATTATTGTTTGTAATGATTCAAGGCGTGAATTTGATCAATTGATGTAAATAAATGATGAACAGATCTTCTTATGATGAATACAGGTGATTTTTTCCTAATATTCATAGCTGAAATCCATTTTTGGAATTACAAAGTTTTTGTAAAGTTGTTCAATTTTGGATTACTATAGCTCATTTGATAGCCCTCGTGATTCTGATCATTTATCACCCCTATATCACCTATTTCTGATGTGTGATGAATAAGTTATTGAGTTGTAAAGATTGCAAAAATAAAGTTTTGTCATGTAAATGTCACATGTAACCTCCAAATTCGAAATTCACTCCAGTTTCTTTGTTGCCTTATAACTTTTTCACTACTCCTCCGCTACTAATGATTTAAAGATTGTACATTATGAAACCAATGATTCCGCGTCGAATGGACTATCACACACCCAATTCTGACAAGTTTCACCACATGTAATTAACTGAAAACTCCCATTTTTGATGAATTTTGACTATTTTCACGTCTAATAATGATTTTCCTTCTATCAAAAGATCATTCCACAGCGCTCCAATCAATCACACAGCATTAAAATCCTTCTGAAAAACTCTTGGCGCAATCAATCCATCAATGACATCACTACACAGGACTTAATACCATAGTACCTTTCTTCAAAATTTCCCTTTTCTTGAATAACTTCACACCTCCCTTATGAATCCTCATGATTAAAGTTGCTGATGACTAATGCGATCCTTCTCTTTCACAATAAAACCTTCCTGAACCAATATCTCTTCTAATAATAAGCTAAAAACCATTTTCCAAACTTTCATACCCATATTTTCAAATTTTTCTTCAACTTTCTTAATATTCTTCTTATTCTTTCATTCTTTTCATAACAGTTTCCATTCATAAAGATCCAAACTAAATGTTCTTCTTCCTCCAATCTCCTCTTACTAATTCTCCTAATATGATTTTCACTCTTTTACTATTTTTATTGATCTTTTCGAATTTTTCTTTACTCTTAAATGTTCTTATCAATTGCTTATGTAAATATATGATTTGAAAGATAATGAAATGAAGATTATAAATCAACTTTGATAGCCTTGATTACTAATAACTCCAATAATAATAGTGCCTTTGACCAAAAACTCGAATTTTCACATAATTTTTTAAATTTTTTGCTTAAGTAGAGCTCTTGCTCACCACACCGATGGCTTTGTTCAACCAAGCATCACAAAGTTCGCCGATAATAAACAAGTATACTGTTAGACCAACACATTCCGGTTTCGATAGTGTAGTAGCGACAGTTTGAGAGCAGAAAGTTCGTAGAGCTCGTCCGTCATCTTGTTTATCACAATCAAAAACATCTTTTGTAAGAAGTGGGCTGTTTGAGGATTGTAAAACCTGAGAGAGATCTTGAAGAGAGACGACATATTTTCCTATAGTTATCAGACGAGACCCGGACAGCAATTGATTTGCTCCAGTCTTCCTAGCATGCTTAGGATCCTGTAAGGTCACAACTGGGCGGGGTGGAATACCAAAAAGAGGTACTTTGATATGGACATCGAGATTGGTGTTTAAATAAGATAGAAATTGAGTTGCCATTTGATTGAATTGGGCCTGTGCAGCCAGTTCAGATGCGGCGCCGTCGGCGCCAATCGATAAGACGTTGATTCCCGCAGCCGAACTCATCTGAATGACGTTGTTGTGGAGTTCGGCAATTTGTTCAGCTCCTTCGTCTGAAGGACTTGCTAACAGAGCAACCACTAATGTTGGGATATTCGGAAGAGGAACTTGGATAGTGTAAGCTCGAATCTAATGGTCAAGAACATATTTTATGTTAGTGTACACACAAAATAGAGTTTAAAATGAACAACTCACTTTGGAACATAGTAACTTTTCCTTCTTGATTTTTTCGAGCAAGTCTTGAAGTTCCTTGGGGTTATTGAATGGTATATCGCCACCTTGAGCTCCTACAATAAAACCCCGATGATGGCGCAGAGTTTGCACACAAACTGTCTGATCTGAGCCGACAGCAACAGGTCCAGAGTATCCAAGTTCGGAGAGTATAGCACCTGCTCGATTGAAATTGGCCTGAGTCATCCCATCATATATTTCGGTCTTACTTCGGGCCCGATCCAGCCGCTGACATCGTAGTGTCTTCCCAACAAAGTTCTTCGTAACCAGCTTCAGAGCACTCTTGCTCATGGCACCGAGAGTTGTGAGGCAGTCATAGAGATGAGCATCAATACGCATCCCTTGGAGTGTCTTTCCGGCCTCCTCGCGTTCAGCTCTAACAGCACAACCCATTATCAAACCTCTAACTACTTCGCGGTTCTTGAAAAGGCCTCTTCTGGCATCGATTGCCAGACGTTCAAGAAAATCACCAAAGTCGCCGTTGGTTGAAGATGCGAGAGATTGGTGAAGAGTTTTAAGAGACTTGTGCTTCTTCACAAGTTGATAGTACTTATCAATAACTACGAGATATTCAGGTGTGAATTTAATGTCGTCTCCTGTGGCATACTTGTGCTTGAGAGCTCTAATCAAACTTCGGCAGTTTTTAATTTCCAGGCATGGTTTGCAAGGTCGTACAGGATCTCTTCGAGAGCGTTGAAAAACCTCCAAGCAGGTTTTTGAGTGAATGGTGTTGCGTTCACCAGTGCGCTTGACAACCCAAGTGCATCGTGACTCGAGTGTTGCAATCAGTTGAGATTTTTGTGATGCAGTGAGATCTGCCTCGGTAACGATATTGCCAAAGAGTTCCCTACGAACCTCGTGGCGGAGAAGACCTCGAAAGATAGAATAGGTGCTTTCCAGAAAGTGTGAAATCGTACAAGTAGCTCGTGGTCTAATCCAGGTTTCATTGGTAAGACCCGGACATACGGTGTCCACTAGATTTCTATTGACGGGTTGGAGAGCCGGGTCTGATTTGAAGAAAGAGGTCAACATTTGGTTGCCTCGTAGTCCAGATGTAGCATCCTTACACACCCCTGAGTAATATAAATCTCATCAGTAATGGTTTAAATACACCTGAGGAGTAAGAGGATATTGGACATACCACTGCTCCAGTGCGCCTGAGCTCCTTCAACTTGGCCTCGGCGAAGTGTAACTGGAGCAGCACCGCAGTGACAGCTGAGAAGCTTGCCTTTCGATGTCTTCTGAACCTTACAACGTATGCAAGGGTTGTTTGGTTCCGATAGAGGACATAGAGAAACAACATCTCGTTGTTTCTCTATCTTGGGTTTTTTTGATTTGGTACTAACTGTTTTACTATCCTTATTACTTTTGGCTAACTCGACTTCCTCGTCATCGGAAGAGATGATGATCGCATCATTCGAGGTTTGGGCTGGTTGGATTCGCTTTGGAGCAGGTGGCTCAGTAACTACATCAACGTCGGTGTCAGGGTTCAAATCATTTCGGTGCTTGACTCCATTCGAGTTAGAGGGGGTTGTCGCAGATGGAGCGAGTTGGGATTCACTTTGAATAGGTCCTCCAAGTGCTAGCAGATAGACATAAGTATTTGAGTAGACTTCGAAAGATAACAGTGAAAGAATGTGGATAAAGCTGGAGAAAGCTTACACTTGACTTTCTCAACAATCCCCTCGAATTTGAGCTTCACCAACAGGTCCGATTGTGAGTCATACTTTCCTTTTTTATTGACTCTTTTGTTCTTTTCTTCTGCGGAATCCCAGGAGGGATGTTCGCGTCCCTTGTTAACCCATTCAATAGCCAAAGCCACACCATTGGGTCCTTTTAGGATATTTCTGATGCCCGTATCAGACCCAAACAGGTTGTCCAGTGTTTTGTTGATAGTCATCCAGATTCCTTCTTCCGCATCCGCTGCGGGTAAAGATGGCGAGTGAGAACAGCTTTTGTAAATCTCGTCTGTGTGTGTAGCTGTGGAGATCAGTGGGCATTCTTCCACAAGGCGCAAGGCCTCTTTCATTACATCGTTGAGTAAAGGCATGATCACAGTTTATTTGATTGAACGGTGAAACGGTGATAGGGCGATGTAGGGCGATGTTGTGGTATGTTGTGGTAGTTGTAGTTTAGCGGTGATTGCGGTGATTGCGGTGTTTGAACTTTAATCAGCAGTGGTAGTCCTGGGGATGAACAAACTTTTTTTACTTTGGGTGTTAGCGGTGTTTCCCGCACTTTCCCACCCATGACAGCAAAAAGACAACAAAATTTCGAAAATTTAGGCAAAAATGGCCTTCACAATGACAAAATTTAGTCAAAATCCAACCCAGATTTTGACGTTTTACGTCACAAAGCTTATGCCAAAAACCTCAGATTCTGACCATTTTCGTCACAAACCTAGGTAAAATACAAGGCCAAATTCTGACCTTTCTCGTCACAAACCCCAGTAGGAGCATTCCTGGGTCCTCTCAGAGCAGACCACCATTAGACTCGTTGTTTGGATTTAAAGCTTGCAAGGGGCTTTGTCTTCAATCCTCGATGCACAGTGGTCCCTTCAAGTTCCCCTCTTCCTGTAAGATGAGTCCAATCATAATAATCTTGCCACTTGTAGGAAATCTGGACTTCACAAACTAGACTGACTTGTTGTCACAGCTCAAGAACTCACTTTCCGTATCGATTGTCTTTGTCTCGATGGTGTCAATGGTACATAGTGGTGACTTTGACTACTTTGATGTGAGTCATGTCAATTGCGAGCACAATTTTCATCTTTATCTCGATCTTGATCCGATATGTCCTTTCTTTTCTCAGGTCATATACATGGTAGATAAAACCGATCAGAATTCATCAAGAGGTGATAGTCGTAAACTCATCAATTTCGAAAACGCTTGAACTTGGTGCTAGATCACATCAAATCTAGTAAAGAAGATCAAGCGGTGAAACAGACTGGTACGCTTGATTTGAATGGCACAGGTCATGGAGCGAAGACTGATGAACCCAATATTCCACCACAGTTTTAGTCTGATCATCACTGAGCAAGAACCTTGCTCATTTGCTGAGCTGACCTGAAGAGGACGTATATCGCCGTCAAGTCTTGTTCAAGTGTATGTCTTTGATGGTTCGAACAATTTGAATTCAGGTTTGGCTGGAAAATATGTATCGGTTTTGACGATTGAGAATTAGTTATCTCAATTTGAAGTTATCTGAAGTTGGTTTGATCGTTTCCTTTATCAAGCTTGATAAGTTTACTCACTCAGTCAAGCTAATCGATCGATTCTGATGGTTATTTATCGTTTGTGAGCGGATGAGATTGGGTGGATGGCAAAAGGTAAACAAGTTTCAAATACAGTTGAGCACGTATATTTAGAAAGATCATACTGTTCTCTTCATCCTACAATCAAAGTGACTGGGTAGATGTTTTTACTTCAAAATTGGGTAGGTATAGTGGCCTTTGATAGCGGTCTTCCTCAGTTGCTGATTAAACCAAAAGTTCCGCACATTTCAACAAGTTCTCGGACATAGGTTGTTTTGTAGTTTTCTTTCTTGTCATTTCTTTATAGATGAATCCAATTGGATCGAGTCTTGTATCTTTGTATCACTCAACTTTATTGAAATGCATCAATCTTGTCAAGTCAACACTTTGAGAAACATCTTCTGAGTGTCAGAAGGGTTTTGGGACATCAACAATTGAATCCAACAACATCAGGTGGTCATCGAGTAGGACATCCTCTTGACAACTACAAATCCCCCAACAGTTCAGGTGGAAGCGATGCTCTCAGAAGAGCCCGTACAGGCGCCTTGAGGACCCCCTATGTAGCGTAAAAGGACAAACTTATCCAAGTCCACTCGCTCTGGCCCCGTCGGTACAGGTACCACGTACCTCCAAGCGCCAGCGAGGGACATGGGTGCAATCCCCAAATTCTGGCGTGAGACTAGACAGGGCTTTTGCCAAAAATCTGTCATCTCACTTGCTCACAATTCTCGCTTATCAACTCGTAATAAGCTGATAATGGAAATGATGCGCAAAAGCCTCATCTTCGATTTGCCACCCTCCATACCTTCACGGCCCCAGGGGTTCAAAAGATATGGGCAAATAAGCTCTTGGCCCAAACCTCGGGGCCGTACATGACCCAAGCATGACTGCGGCGTCCAAAACCCCAGTAAGTTGACATAACAAGGAAAAACTTGTATTGGACAAACTGCAGTCCATCGTTTGATGAAATTTCGTCAAGTACATGATTTGCACCCCCAGTAGCATCACGTCGGCGCATACCATTCTCACGATTCCAGTTTGCTCACAACTCCAACGACTCAAAATGATACGGAGGATTGATTCCGCTGCCAACGCCCAAAAGCTAGCACCAAGTCTTCAACTGCGACTGCTCAAGATGTAATTCCAATTACACCTTTTATTACCTAAATCTAATTCCAATTTGAATTCACATCAAAGTTCATAATGGAATTCTAATCGAAACCAAGAAACTGTTAAAAAGAATGTACGTTCAAGAGAAAGGAAAATTTTACACAGGATGATTGATTCAAGTATGATCTTGTGATTAATTGATTGAAAGTAGGTCTTCTTTCGATTTTGATCGTGAGTATTTTCTTTTTCATCTTATTCTAAATTGATCCTTTACTAACATATTCTCTTTGTTTTCTTATAGTCAAACAAACCAAATTCGCTTGAAATTCTTTGAATTAAGATCGATTTTCTCAGCGAGTTTTTACCTTTATAAGTTCACAATTTTGTAAAACCAAAAGAGAAATCTACAATCTGATTCCAAAAGCTATTTAATCATGATTAGAACGTCATTCTAGTAAAATCCGATCTATTTTCTTCAAGTTCTAATTTCTCTCCTTGAATTTTCTACTTTTTTTCTAATCGATTTGTATATCTTGTATGTATGTGCGTTTTAAAAGTTTGTTTACTTTGATTTTTGAATCAGTTTGAGTATTGGTTTGTTCTTTTGCGGGTTGAAATCCTCGAAAAATGGAACCTATCTCATAAGTTTATTAAGCTCCACTCACACATCACCCATACTGATTTATCCACTCAAGGCGCAGGTTCGCCCTCTTTGTCCACGTCCTTGATCAAGTTATAGCATGAGCAATACATACATCATGATGATTCACAATGCCTAACGCGAACTGCAGTTTGAGCTGAAAAGATTTTATCTTGCAAGCACGAATGTTTCTGACGCGCAGCGTTGGAAACACATGTAGACAAAGACGGCCCCGAGGTTTGGGCCAAGAGCTTATTTGCCCATATCTTTTAAACCCCTGGGGCCGTGCAGGTATGGAGGGTAGCAAATCGAAGATGAGGCTTTTGCGCATCATTTCCATTATCAGCTTATCACGAGTTGATAAGCGAGAATTGTGAGTAAGTGAGATGACAGATTTTTGCCAAAAGCCCTGTCTAGTCTCACGCCAGAATTTGGGGATTGCACCCAAGTCCCTCGCTGGCGCTCGGAGGTACGTGGTACCTGTACCGACGGGGCCAGAGCGAGTGGACTTGGATAAGTTTGGTAAAAGGATCCCTTTTGGAAGACCGTGGGGCGTCACGAAATACTGTTTGGGTCCGGGCTCCTTGGATCAGTTTCGTCACGATGTCCGTCCCCCTGCAAGAAAAACCGGTTGTCCCTAGGACATCGGCGTGTCCTTGTGGTGTAGAGCATCCACAGTGGTGGGCTCCAAATCGGGGCTATCGCCAAATTTGGTGACTGAGCCCCGATTTTTTGGTGCAATGGGAGTCCCCATCGCCAAATTTTTTTGTAGCCGGCTTCAAATTTCGAGCTTTGGGCTACATATTTGGCAACAAAAAGCCGGGCTCCAAATTCCCGCACTTGTTCAATCCCATACCTCACACATGTAAGCCCACGCGTACCAATCTCAAAGTGTGTGTAAACACATAGAATCTACACTTTTGAAGTCCGAACGACTGCATCCGGATTGATTTGGGGCCCCACCAAATTTGAATTCGCTTGATTTGGAGCCCCGATTTGGAGCCCACCACTGTGGATGCTCTTAGGACCCCGGAGAGCACTCATTGAGGCACACAATGTAAGAGTTGTTCTTACACCACTTCACTGGAGTTTGAGATTCATAAATATTCCATACAGTTCCTTGCTCCTCCCTTCTGAGGCCTAGCAAGGGGAAAGGGGCTTGGTTGAGGTAGAAATCCATAGCCTTGCAAGTGTGAAGACTTTCAAAAGCCAATTACAGACTGTCAATTTCACAGCAATTCACAGAAAACGTAAGGGCATCAAAACTCTTACATTGTCTGCCTTGATAGCAGCTCTCCAAGGTCCCAATTGCTTGTCTTAACCAAGGCACAAGCCAGGACGTAGCTCCATGACCAATTTTAGGCAAGTGAGGTGTAACTCATAATTCAATACTCTGAGTTTTCTAAATTGTGAGAGCTTGAGAATTTTTGTACAGAAAATTCTCACTTCTGAATCTCACTACCCTCAATCTACACCAAAACCAATCATTTTGTTCCATTATCTCCAAATGTTGAGAAAAAAAATTAATTTTCAGTTTTTTTTCTTAACCTGGTCTCACTGAACCCCAATGACATCATTTGTTATTGATGTGCAAGTGTGTTATGAGCAACTCAGAGAATCTGGTTAGAAAATATCCAAGAAGAAGCAAGAACAGAAGACTAGAATAGTCGTTACAAGGAGTCAGTCAAAGAATAGAGGTACAGAGGATCCGGCAGGTAACAATGGTGAAGCACCAACTCAAAGTGGTAGTGGGACTAATGGAACCACAACACAAGACAAACAAGGTGGTGGAGCAGGAGAAGGCGTACTGGAAGAAGAGCAGATGAGGCAGGAAACACAGGCGTAGAAAAAGAGAACAGCAAGTAACTACAATCCCGCGCTTGAACGGCGGAGAAAAAATTCTACCAATATTTCTCCACTTTCCTATTTTGCGGAGGGGATGGAAGGAGTGATTCAGTTTCATCTTGCTTTCATTTCTATTTCACACTGGAGAAGTTATGATGAGGGGGAGATTAGGAGAACCCAAGAATGAAAGTGCAGAGTGTATGCAATGAAGAAAAAATGTGTTGTAGGGGCTGGGCCTGACCAGCATTGTGTTGTTAAAGGGTGGTCTGAGTGAGGGCACAAAAGAAACACAGAAAGTGTGGCCCAAGCTGTTGTGTACAAGTGGAGACAAAGAATAGAGAAGAAGATCGGGGCTGAATAAAGTTAAAAAGCGGACACAGATCAGATGCAGATAATTTGAAAGAGATGATGAGCAAAGAGGAATGGTGGGGAGCAATTGCAGCCCCCAACTACTGGTTAACTGGCATACCAGTGCGCCCCATGTCTTTAAACTGTTTTCAAAGTAATACCTGCCTGCTATCACAATGTTATGGATCAGTTACCAAAATAATCTGGCAATACCACCAAAATGGTAGGAGAAAGAGGCACAGGTTTTAAGGCAGCAATGAGTAACCGGAGGAAGTTATAGACAGCTTGCTAAAAGTCACGCTTACACCTGGTGCCTTTTGCGTGGCCCAGGGTGTGGCCAGGGCCATGGCCTGGCATGGTGTGGCCCAGTGTGGCCTTCCATTTAAACAACCTCAATTCCTCATTTCAGCTGCTACTCCCTGCTTAAGACAATCTCTAGGGGGGCTTCAACTTTTCATACCCTGTGAAGGTCATGAACAGGTTGGGGTGAGGGCCACAGGTGGCCTAAGCACTGGCCCTTGCCATGCGCCCCATCAGGGCGCCTTGTGGCTTTGTGGAACCGGGTGTGAGCGTGAGCTAACAGGAATAATTTAGGAAGGTGTTTAGTACGTGAGAAAATGACATGAATAATTTTTGAATGTTTATTCGAGAGTCAAGCCAAACATGAGTTTAAAACAGAACAGTTAGTGGAAGCACATGCAAGTTGGGGGTTATGTACTCAATAAGTCAAGGCTCTCACAAGCCCCCACTAGAAAGTTTGTATTGGTGACCCCCAAGAGATGGATGCAGAACCAAAAAGCTAGCCAATCCCCGCCCTGGGCTCCCCCAAACATACTTCAACCTCAGCCATAGTAATAGGGCAAGGTGAAGGCTCATAGATGTATTATGTGCATAGAAATAAATTCCTAACAGTGTTTACTAGTAGTATCAAATACTAGTAAAAATACCTGTAGATTACCTAAGAGTAATAAACTTGGAGAATGGATTGTGAGATGAGGGAACTTTTCCACAGTTGAACTATTTATGTTGCAAATGTAATTTGTTTGCAATCAATTCATGCACTGGTAAGTTCAAATGGGATTACTTCATAAGACACCTTCAGCATGTGATCTGCCTGGGATCAACATGATTAATTGGTATGTCTATGTTATGCTATCCATCCACCAATCCAGGGAATTGCAAGTTGAAAGTTGAAAAAACTTTTGATGGCCAAATGACACTCAAGATTATGTTATGTCTTTTGCCCATCCTTATCTGCTTATTCTCATCACACGCTAACAATAAGCGCACTTACTACATACTTCCTGGTTCATCTGGCTTTCCAACCACAACACGTCAGACCACTAAATATGTTTCAAAAATCAATTCTAAGTTAAAGAAAAAATAATGGAATCCAAAATTAATATAGAAGTAAACACTCCCAGAATGCCTCCCTTGACATTATAGCAGAACAAAAGCAAATGGCAAAAGACAATTCAGGTTTACCATGGTGGTCCCTATCACAATGGCAGTAACTGCTTGAAATCTCTCCCTAAGGCTGGATTTTGAATGCTCACTTGGTAAAAAAGAACAACGGGCTGATTGCATTTCTTTATGATATCATAAAACCATTTTTTTCATTTTACAACAGAGTAACAGAAGAGGAGAAACTGCGGGATATTGAAAATTGATTGAAGAAAAGAGACATAATAGAGAATAAAACAGGGATAGAGAATTTACGATGGTATGATTAAGAGATTTGAATCCTGCGTGTTTCCTTGTCGACTTTGACTTTGGGAACTTTGACTTCTAAGACACCATCAGTGAAGCTAGCTTTGATTTGATCATGGGTGATAGCTTCAGGGACGGCAATTGTGCGACTGAAGGTTCCAAAGGATCGCTCAGAAACCTAATGATGAATCCGCAACATACTTGTTAGGTCAAAATGTTGGTATTGAAGGAGAAGATAAAGGATACTTACTCGGACATTGCCAGTTTGATGTTCAGACGAAGACTTGGTTTGACTGCTAACAGTAAGTCGACCATTTTGAAGGTCAATGGCGATATCCTCTGTGTTGGAGCAAAATTATTAGAACAAAGTCATTCAGGCACGTTTACAAGGAGTACGTTCATACACACCTTTTTTAGCACCAGGTAATTCAGCCGTCAAGACGAAATTGTCACTTGTTTCCACAATATCAATCTTTGGGCGAAATACTCGGCTGACGATGCTTGAACCTTGCTTTTCGGCTGAGCCCGAGTTGGGGCCATTATGATTGGAGCTTTTAGAGCCGTTGGGAGCTGGGCCGTAACGATCGGTAACCAGTTTATCGAACATGGATTCGAAGTCGTCCCATTGGGTAGGTACAATTAAAGAGTAAGACATGGTGAGTTGTCAAAAAATGGGTTTGCGAGTGAGAGTTTTTGATTGCTTTTGAAGCGCTGGTAAATGATTGCTATGTAGCTATTCGTTGATCTGATGATGGACACATCGCTCTGAAGGACGCTCCTTTTATAGACGAGAGGTCACATATGCCTCACGCAAACCAGGTGGTGGCAGAGGTTGCAGAGTTCAACGCAATCGAGTGATCTACCACTTGATGGCTCACCCTAGAAAAATCTAGAAAAACTCCCGAGCCGCGCCACATCGAGTTTCACCGAAGACTTGATAAGCGCCCCGACAAGTGTATCGGGAACCTCGGTACACGGACCTATCGGCTTCGTCAGATTCTGTACCCGGAGAAATGACGTAAAATTCCACAGTCATTTAAGGGAAGCTTGCTCAATTTTGCTCGCCAAAATCGAGCGAATTGGCGGGGATTTGTCGCATACTCTTCTTAAATGACCGTAGAACATGATGTGGAGTCAAGATTGAGGTGTTGAGTTGATCAAGGGCGTGGATCGCCAGAGATCCCTTTGAAAACCCATGATTGTTTTGGAGATCTACTCCTGTATGATGTGTTTTACAACTGTACCGCGCCCAACCGCGCCCCGACTGGTTTAGGTAAGTTTCCAAATCGACGCATACAATCAGATCAAATTGACCACCACCACCATTCCAACAACAACTGAACCTTCAACAGCATCTCATCATCAACAAAATCACCTGGATTCACTTCTATCTCTTTCTTTTCTCGATCGGAAACTAATATTAAAATTACAAATTAATGTGAACACCTTTCAATTTATTAAACTCAAATGGAAAATCAAACATCTCGAACGGTTCATAATCTCAATTCCATATCCAACTCTCCAATTAGATCATATAGACGTCGTCCTTTCTCTAATGGTCTTAGAAAACGAGAAGGATTGCCAATCTCATCAAATTTCGATATAGAGCCATCTCAATCGAATCTTCTTTCAATCCACGATGACCAGATAGAACGTGAAGTAGAAAACATCTTTCGTCCTAGCGATGACGATGAAGATGAAGTAGATCAGATTCCTCCTGTACCTTCTACAAGTGAAGTCAGTGAGAAGGGTTACTTATCATCACTTCGAAATCCTCCTCCCTCTACTAGCAGCTCTACCTTGGTCAATGAAGAAGAATCTTATCCTGATAACATACGTAAAAAAATACGTGGTACCAATTCTCATCTATCCGGAATGGAATATGGACCTTCTCATTTGTTAAGCGCGTTTGAAATACCTCAAGGAGCTCATTTTGTACATCATACACCGTCTCAACCTTTCGCACAAAACGGCCAGTCCGTCACCTCATCTAAACTCAATCAAGATTATTCTCGTACTCAGCGATCGTTCAATCATTTCGAACTGCGCCAAGCTGACCACGAATCCTCACCACCATTAGCAGCGGAACGCTCACCTTCACCAGATCACCAGCCTGAGCCTTCGCCCCATCGTACCTCAAACACCAGTCACTCGCTTCGCCCTGGAAACTCGCCCCCCATCCCTTCGCATGAACAACCACCGCCTTCACCTCGCAGATCTTATCCCACAGTACATGACCAAAACATATTTAAAGCCATGATTCACAGTCCTAAGACAAATAGTCTTTCTTCACATCAATCATACAATCGATCTTCTACCCAGGATATAAGCTCATCAAGGTATTCTAAGATTCCCGCTAGGAAACAGGAAGATGAAGATGAAGATGTCTTACAAACGCCGAAACAGACTAAGAACACAGATTTCTGCTCAGCCGCAATGGCAGCTATTGATCAGGTAGTATCAGGGCAAAAACCTAAGGTGTCTAATACGACGTTCGAAAGCAATACTCCGAGACCAGTAGATAGCATTAGTGCTAGTCGGCCCATTAGCGCTAGATTTCCTAGACCACCCTTGGCCCACCTCGCAGGCAGACTGAAGGCACAATCTACTCAAGACGCTTCGAAAAATCGGCAAGAGGGGCCCGCGTCTAAAGTCGATCACCCACCACCTTTGCCCATCCAAGAGCACGTACATCAACTCGTCCACAATACTCACACAGATGAATTCTCAGCGAAATCCGTTTCCGCCCCATCAAGAGCACCTCTCGATCCCCCGACGACTCGAAAATCCGTACCATCAACAGGACTTCAAGACGAACGTAGATTGAAGGGATTGCTAAAGAATTCACCTGATCCTCAACGACCTGCTCCAACGGTTGAAACCCATCCTACTTCTAATCCGGTTAACAACACTCATTCGGGCCCACATCTTGCACGTACTCAATCACATCCGAATCCCCTACACAAATCGAAGCCCAGCTATGATGGGAGTGTGGTGTACAAAAGCCAACGAGCCGAGATTCATGAAAGCTCGATCGGGTTTGAAAGGCAGCAGAATCATGACAAGTTGGCTTCAAATCAGCAGCATGGTTGGCCTGCATCCCCGTTTCTGAGGCCCAAGAATCCTGACTCGGACTCGGACTCCGGTGATAGCCCCGACCTACCCGTGGTTGTAGAAGAGCTGGACCAGGGCCCGAATGTCGCTAGTCAAGTTCTGCTCAATCGCCATTCTGTCAGAAAAAAAGTAGCTTTTGTAGGAGCAAGTGATCATCAAGGCAGTCACGAGATTAGGTTACAATCACAAGTGAGTACAACTCTTGTCAAATCCCAATTGGAGAGAAGTAGTCTCCTAGTCTGGGTATCGTGAGTGAGATTTAGTATGTAAAATATCTTTTCTGATGTTCTACTTCTCGCTTCATACTTCACCGTTTCCATCCAGACATCAACTAACCTGCTCGTGTTTTGATCTCTCGATCACTTCATTCCCCTGTAATCGTATTAGGTTCCTCAACCTTTACATTCAAAAATCGGCTCCTCTCCGGAAGATTATCCGTATGATCCAGCCAACTTAACGTTCAAAAAGGAGACATCAAGGTTTGCTCCTTTACAACACTCTATGTCGGAGACATCAGTCATGGACAGCGGGTCCCAAACCCTGTCAACCCCCAAGATTACAGGCTTTTATCCAATGACCCCAGCTCCTCCTGCACCTCGTCGATCGAACCCTTTACCCGTCCCATCCTCTTCAACACTCTCTTCCGCAACCGACAAACGTTTGGATCAACTGAAAGCTCAAGAGCCTGAAGGCCTGTCACGTAAACAACATCACGAGGCTGGACCTGATCAGACAAGCGAGATCCCTTTACCCGTACCATCCTCTTCAACTCTCTCTTCCGCAACCGACAAGCGTTTGGATCGACTGAAAGCCCAAGAGCCTCAAGGCGTGTCACGTCAACAACACCGTGAGGCTAGACCTGTTCAGACAAGCCAATCGGGTCATCACCTCCATATTCCGGATCGCAATATTGAGAAGCAGAAACTTGAAAACTTCAAGGGCAAGGGGAAAGCGATAGAGGAACCCACGGTGAATCTCGACGCCTACTTCACACCAGTACCAAAGTCGAAAAAGGAATCCGAACCTAAAGGACAAGCACAGCGAACTCTCGATACACAACTTGCCTATCAGTCCAGAAGGATGAACACCGATGACACTTTGCTTGATGCAACTCAATTGGAATTTAGTCGCCTAACTGCCCCAACTCCTCATCCTCCCGGATGGTTTGCAGAAACTCCCGTTCCTCATGTCAAGATCAAACCGAAGAAACGAGTGGTCAAGTCTCCGCCTATTGAAACAGACCAGACGCACATTGGCAATCAGGATAACCTATCAAGGAGACCTCCTGATGTATCTGCAATTCCCTCATCCTCGAGACAAGCCTCTTCTGATCATCTAGCCGGGCCTAAACGAGATCAATCCTCCCAATTCGTCACTACTACTGCGATCAACTCATTACCCGGAACTGCTCGATATGATGTAAAGGGCAAGCCTTCGCATCCTCCGCCAAAGTCTAATGTCAACACAACGGATTTGCTTAACCAGCCCGTTTCTCAATCAACCAACAACATGCGTACACATCATCCCCGTTCTAACTCTCCAAACCTTCAACCTACGCATGACAAGGTCTCATCCACGTCCACATTGGAATCCTCCAATCAGCGACCTTCACTCTCTACCAAACCCGAGTCAACGCCAATACCCCCAACGCGACCGCCTGAAGACATCTCAGCCCAAGTTATGCCCAACCGGGCTCAACATTTGCGACCTCCGACTCGTCAATCTGCTGATATCACACACGCTTCTATGGCAGTCAATTGCCTCAACCTCTTGCAACAGTCTATCCGTGGCAAGCTGGGTCCTCTCGATGACGTAGACCTAATGAATATGAGCCTTCCGCCTTGTGCGGGTGGTGACTACAGCACTTTCGAGGTCAGTGGCCAACAGGACGTTGGTCAGATAGCTCATCTACTCAAGGACCTACTGGGTGATATACAGGAATTGAAAACTACAAAAACTGGTGTCGAATCTTTAGCAGAATCGTGAGTATAGGTTTCGTTCTTTCTGCTTTCGATCGATGAGTAAATATGCTTGTATTGACATGTGCATCTACACCTTTAGGAGTTCATTCCTTTTGGCTGATGATACGCTTCGGCCGAAAGCGTCACCTGATCCGGCGATGCTCCCTCACTCGCACAATTCGATCTTGGGCGCATTAGCTCGGCAGTCTGATAAGGTTGCGACAACGAGAGCGCCTTTGGTTGATCATCTTGGTTTCAATGATGAATCTTTGAGATCTCCTGAGTCGCAAGATGTCAAGACGGATATTAAGACATGCGATCTTATCTCAAAGCCAAGAACCAGCTTACGCAGTCGCGCCCTATTGGATTGGATAAAGATTCCTACAAGTCTCAATGGATATAAACGATATCAATGGGTTATTGGACTGATTTTTTTGCAAGTGTTGATGGTGTGGCTCGTTATCAGGTAAGGATACTAATCTATTATATGACATGATTGATCTCGATATATATGCTGACTTGACGATTCTTCAAATTTCACTTTGTGATTTTAATAGCTTAGCAACTGTTCGCGCTGTGAATCTTGCTCACGCGGGCCATTATTACCCTCGATATGTACTACCAGGTCATACAGGTATAATATCAAGAATTCTTCAATCTTATCATTATCTTTCTCCTGAAAGACTTGAAGACACTGCAAATTCATCATGGTGGCAGATTGGATTAAGATCAATCGTTGATATTTCTTGGTTTATAATTGATTGGATCTTTGGATTTCGTTGGTCATTAGATAGAATAACAAACGTCACTTCATTTCAAACTAATGATTCAGAGAATTGGTTTGAATCTATGATTGAATTAATCTTTTCATTTTTTTTTGAAAATCATCATGAAAGGTTTGGTGAAGGGGAGATTGTTTGGGTTAATCAAGCTGGTGTCACTTCATATCTTCGTTCTGGATTTTCTCCTACTTGAGTTTGATATCTAATTGATTGAATTGGGATTTTTTATATATTTTATTTATTTTTAAGAGGTTTTTTTCTTTTTTCTTTCTTGTTTTTGTTTATTATTAAGAAGATGTGTTTATTTAGAAACCTTTTAGGGTCTTGATTATAATTTAGATTTCATTTAATGTCAATTTGAGTTTTTTAGTGTTTTTTTTAAATAGATGAACTCATCAAATGTTGTAAGCATAAAAAGAAAAAGGATTTTCCATCATTTTTTTTGTTATATAAATTAATTGATTTGTTTGTATGTGGTGTATTTTCATAGGTTTAGGTTAGTTTATCAAACATGATTTTCTTGATACGGCAAGCAAATATAATTTTACTTTTAAAGGGAATCGATGTTGGTCATTGATACATGTGAGGAGGATTTGTGGTAATTTGAGCTGGGTAGCATGAGTAGAATTGCAAGTCATTGAGAGTTACTTTGGGCCTGGGACCTGGGTTGAGCAGCTTTCCTCATGAGCTTGATTTCGAGATTCATCATGTTTCAGATCTCATAATTGGAATGAAGAGTCAGTTCATAATCACCATATCATCAATTTGTACTTTGTTATATAACATTCCCAAAATATTCTCGTGTTCAACAAATCACTCAGCTCAGCATCCCACCTATGTATCCTGTGCCCGAGGCTCAAGATCTACCCCCGTGTCTAAACCCCGTGTCTAAACCCCGTGTCTAAACCCCGTCGACTCAACACCAACTGAGGACGATACGGTGACGTCTGCAAACTCGTAAGGACCGGCCTCGCGTTCATGAGCCGTCGAGTCGTCCGGTATGTCAGATGACCGGATGGAGACTGATCGACGAATCAAACTACAAACAGTTCAACTGAAGACGCCATTTTCTTTGATCTTTACCAACTATTACGATGGCATCACCCAAACCCACAAATAAAGAAGTTACCAATGATGTGATCGAGTATGGCTCAGAATTTTTAAGACCAGAAATTGATGATAATTCAATAGAAGGAGGAATCGAAATCGAACCGACAATTCAGTCTGCTGGATCATCAAAAGCAGGTCCATCAACCAATTTTACAGAAGGTTCAGAAACTCATGAAGAAGTATCAAAAGGAAAAGGAGAAGTTGGACAGGAAGAAGAAGAAGAAGAACTTAATATTTCAACGGCTGGTCCTTCTAGTAAGAAAAATAAAAAAAAGAAATCTAAAGGGAAAGCTTCAGCTATTGCACAAAAATTAAAGAACTCGTTGAATGGTACGGTAAGTAACAATGGAAATAGTAATACTGGGAATGTATCTTTGGAAAATAAATTGAGTCCTGAAGGTCATCAGTTAGTCGTTGATCGGGTAGGTCTAAGTTGCTTCATCTTCATGTATCCTTTACATTACATGCTGATCATGATCTATCGATTGTGGTAGATTCGGGCTAATAGTGGAGACGCAATTGCTGATCAAGTGGCTGCACTGGGACCAGCGGAACTTGGGAGGATGTTGGATAACCTTCGTTTGTTGGACGTCATGCAAGGAAAGAACAGTGGTAAAAACAAAAAAGATATGGCAGATCACAAGTTTTGGGCCACCCAACCTGTTTTACAACTCGATGAACGTTTGTGAAAAGTCCTTTTTTTTGAAATCTATTATTGAACCAAGTTGAATTTTGATCATGAACTATTCGTCTTTACAAACCCAGAAAACACCAGTTTTGAAGAAGGTGAAATTGAACCTAATAAACCTGGTGACGAAATTCGTCAAACTCCTCTCACTTTACCTGATGGATATGAGTGGTGTTCTTTGGATCTTAATGATGAGATACAAGTGAGGCTCAAAATTGATTAAGTTCGATCTGTTATTGCGTTTTTCTCACCTCTCACCCTTATATTGTTTGAACACAGTTACGCGAGGTTTACGAGCTGTTAACTGGTAATTACGTGGAAGACGATGATGCAATGTTCCGATTCGATTACACAGCTCCTTTCATTAGATGGTTTGTCACTTTACTTGGGATCTGAATATCTCGAATATACTTCATTGATATGACGATCATCTTTTCTAGGGCTTTACAACCACCTAATTTTGTACAAGATTGGCATGTTGGAGTGAGAGTAGCTTCAGGAAAAAGAAGACTTATAGCCTTCATTGCTGGGGTTCCAATGAATCTCAAGGCTCGATCAACGTAAGTGAGGTGATTGTCTCGGACTGATATCCAAAACCAACGAAAGTCCTCAATGGGTGTTTTTTTCTGTTCATAGGGTTAAGGATTGTTCAGAAATTAACTTTCTCTGTATTCATAAAAAACTTCGAGCTAAACGTTTAGCACCAGTCTTAATCAAAGAAATCACCAGACGATGTAATATCAGAGGTATCTTTCAAGCTATCTATACAGCAGGGATATTCCTTCCAACTCCAATCTCACGTTGCCAGTGAGTACTTTCTTAGTTGGCCGCTGGTGTATGATATCTCGTCTTGCTGACCCTCGTTATGTAGGTATTTTCATCGAAGTCTTAATCCAGCCAAACTCATTGCTACTGGATTCTCTTCTCAACCTCGTGGAGTTTCAATCGCACGACTCAAAAGAATGTATGAATGTCCAACTGAACCTTTATTACCTGGATTTCGTGAGATGGTAGAGAGTGATGTACCGACAGTTGGGATCTTGTTGAGACGATACATGAGTCGATATGATTTACAACCGATCTTATCAGATGATGAGATCCGTCATAACTTTATTAGTGGAAGAGGTAAAGGTGAACTGATAGATGGCAGAAGGGAAGAACAAGTTGCATGGAGTTTTGTTGCAGAAGTAATTTTGATTCTTTTCTCTTTGGTTCAAAGTGATCAAAGCTCATCTTTTGATCATCATTAAACTCATCACTGACGAAAACCCGATCTTTGTTCATCTTAACAGAATCCAGAAAATCATACGATCACCGATTTTGTTTCGTTTTATCATTTACCATCTACTGCAATGAATTCAACACCACATCAAACGATAGATGCAGCTTATTTATTTTATTATGCGACTACATCTGTACCTTCATGTTCGAATTTATTTCAATCAGTAGAATCGGAACATCAATCTAATCAATTAGAAAAAGAACCTAATTGGATTGAAGAAAGTGTTGAAGATAGATTAGTCTTAAAGAAAAGATTAATGACTTTAATTGGTGATGCATTGATTATGGCACAAAAGGTTTGATTTGTTTATATTTTTCGATTATTCAATTTTTGGAAAACTTAGTTGATCGATTGAATTTTGATCTTATTGGAATTTAGGCTAAATTTGATGTTTTCAACGCTTTAACCTTGATGGATAATTCATTATTTGTGAAAGAATTACAATTTGGAGCTGGGGATGGATTTTTACATTATTATCTTTATAATTGGAAAGGTAAGATTCTTTCAACTTCAATCTTTTTAGTTTATCATGATTCTGATATAACTGCTTTGGGTGGTTTTCTTTCCTGCATTTTAGTTCATCAAATTCAAGGTGGTGTTTCAGGTGAAGGTGGAAGTGTTCAAGTTAGTGAAGGCTCTACTGAATCACCTACAACTGAAAGGATTGGTAGTGGGGTTGGAGTGGTGATGCTTTAATGTTGTCAATGAGGGTTGATCAGCAAATTTAAGATCTATTGTAATGATTTACTCTTTATTCGAGTTACTCAATATATCTAGTCTTTTGCCCAAACTCATCTCAATCAAAGATGCGCCAGATTCTTGGTCATCTTGAGTTCACGTGGAAGTATTCAAATACGGTACTCAAAGCAAGTATGTGGGTGCACATACTTTTCGCTACATACTTTTTTTTGGCGGGGAAAACGAGATCAAAAGTATATTTTTGTTTTTTTCCCCGCCAAAAAAAAGTATGCAGCACAAAGTATGTACACCCACATACTTGCTTTGAGTACCGTAAAAGAAAGAGACAGTCCGACTTTTACGATATGCGCTGGGTTTGATGTGGTCAGTGAAGTGAAAGGGAGTGAAAGGGTCTCTTGTCTAACGTGAAGATCGGAGTCCTTGCCATGCTCAGAATGCGAGCGCACTTTTAAGTTTTCATGGAGGCTGAGCGTGCCGGACCGGGTCCTGTACTATTTCTTAGCACGCCCGTCCTTGGGCCGATTTGTCACCTGACATACATATGTGATATAGGCATCTGTGCCATGTCATGGGGGAGCACCAGAGGATCCGGGTTTCCGACCTGGGATTCTGGGACTGTGGGATTCTGGGATTTTGGGATTTTTGCTTACCCCGCTGTAAGCATAGCTGTAAGCTTATTACACGAGATATCACATGTTACGACCTAAAGTCCAAAAGCCTATGTGACAAGTCTAAAAAAGTACCGCAAGCCTTTCACAACCTCATTTCACACCCCACCGTGTCGTCGCCTCCTCCCTCCAAGTCTTCAAGACCTCTCTCCATATCCACCGTTCTCTCTCAGTTTCACCACCCCAAGATGGATGTGCCCAATATCAAAGTACAAGTTTGTGTTTCATCCAACCCAACTGGGAAGTCGCAACACCTCAAAAATCTTCATCATGATCACACACGCCTGCGCAATTTTCATCAAGAGTTTGTTACCTTTGATTCTTCCAAATACAATCTTTGATCATGGTCGTCGCGTCACTTGTCCACGAACGCTATCGATTTATCACCAAAGGACACCTACCTGAGCCGCGGCTCAACCAACTCGTTGGCATTCTGTGTCCAGAATGCCACACTCCACTCCGTTATCAAGCTGCACTCGAAGACGCTTGGCGGATCCATGCAAGTTCTATTCCTTTACTATCTCTTGTTTTCGCCATTCTATCCGTCAACGCTGACACTGCCTCATGTCTTCATTAGTGCCCAAGCAAGCCAAAAAATAGCCACAACTGGCGAACGTGGCGATGTGATCAGTTCAACCACAAGCGAGCCCTGATCAACGCTGGGGCTCCACGCCCCATTATCTCTTGTTTTTTAGATTGGGGACCCAGAATCTCCCCCAATGGTGTTATACTCCCTCCCAAACCAACCCGAGACGACCTTACCAATCGGGCACCCCCGCTTCCTCGCGATGGCCATCCTTTCCTCGGTCCAGTAGAGCAGGAATTCACACCCTTCAAAAATCAACTTGATTCGCTTGCCGGCCCCCAGCGTTCCAAAGTCTCTTACCCATGTCAGAGAGCGTCTCGAGGGCCGGTAGCACGTGGCCACCGGACCACTGGCAACAAAAGCTGCCCTTATCAATACTGTCAATCGGTCAGTTTCCAATGGCTCTATCTATCCATTAAAAAACCTTGATCTAACCAGCCCAAACTTTACATTCCATTATAGTGCTGCCTTGCCTATGGTCTAGGAGCTTGCCTGAAGCATGTCCGTCCCCTCGCGCCCTCTGTGACCCAACGTCCTGCCAGTGAGACTGCCACGCACGTACCTACTCCCAGCACTTCGGCTCTACCACACCCACCACCCCAAGCACTGCAACCAAGTGCCAGGGCACAACCTGCACCTGCACCTCGCATACATCAGTGGGCCCAATCTGTCAACTCACTTGGGCACCGACTGGGGATCGAAACGGTGTCAGCAATCCAAATCGACCGCCGCGAAAGATACAAAGCTGTGGACATTGGCAGAGCAAACAAGTATGACGAGAGGAAAGTGGTGACTATACACCTATGGCTTGATGTACGACATTTCCCAAGGCCTTACTGTCATGAATGAGACTGACGATCATCAAAACTCTTAGGCACTTGAATACAAGGTGATATCAGCCCATATGGAACAATGGCCTAAAGCCAGGTTGGAGGAATCTCCGCTGCTCATGCAAGCATGCACACGAAAATTTGGCGCCACTTGGAACAGGGCGATTTGTTTTTGGGATGAGAAAATTGACAATTGGGTAGGTAAGCATTGTCATGGTCAACCACCCGCCGAAGTTAACCCTTACATCCAGCACGAGACGATGGTCTCATTCCCACACAGATATCCGGCGAACAAGAACGAGATCATCGTCAAGTCGCCCAACTTGGATCCTTGGACGCCTGGGTTGCCCCAGTCAAACATTAAGGCCTTTGCAATCAATAGCAGCCACGACCCTCTCCCTAAAACAACTCTTGATTTCCTGGAGGACGCTGACAACACCGACGATGTCGATGTGGTTGTGGTGAACGGCAAAGGATCTAAATCCCATCCCATTGAACCCGAAGTTACTAAGGAACCCGAAGTTACTGTTACTAAGGAGCCTACTCCAACCCCAACCCCAACGCCAGTCAACACCTTTGATCCCAACTCACTTGACAATGAAGACGATCACACGCACAATGTAATTGCTTTTGACCGCGAGGACTCCGAGCTACCCCACTTCGACCCTATGTATCACTCACCAAAAGGAGCAGATCGACCTTTGGATCTCATAGTTAGTTGATTTCCTGGCAAACCGGACCTCATTCCAGACTGATGGCCTGATGTGGTGTTACGCGTTCATTCACGATGTGTCATAGGCAGACTCCCAACAGACTGCATCACCGGTGTTAACGGACCCATCAACAACCAACCCAACGACGACGACCCACCCAAACACCGTCAAGAAGAAAGGGTGGCCCTCGTCATCTTTGCTTATAACTGATCTCCTTTCTTGGTACAGGGACTGTGAGATTCGCGCTGCCACGCTGGCATGGAAGGATACATATGGTTCCGAGTGGGTTTTTGCCCGCTCAACTGTGCATCGTTATAAGAACTGGATCAATGAGGTTACCTACCGGTGTTTTTCGGCCGAGTACACCAACTTTCCACTTGCAAATGTGGGGGATGCACGTGAGGTCTTCAAGAAAGAGTTCAAATCGGTTTTGTGAAGAGTTCTGGTACGCGCGTGACTCACTCGTGATGATCATGATCATAATATTTTTTGCTGATTGCTGAACTACACAGAAAGACAAATATCATCATGGAACAAAGATGTGGATCTTTGTTCCTTCTTGAACCTATGACCAACATTGGACCCATTGCCTCCTAATTCCTGTCACCTATCTAATCCCTAAAAGCGCAATTCTATATGACTTTGTTAGTTTAATCAACTCGCGGTCGAATGCAATTCAAATATTTCTCTTTGTGACTTTCCATTTGTCAGTAGCCCAAAAAATCAACCTACGCAGGGTCTATGCCGCTTTAATAGACCCTGCCTACTCAGATACCTACCCTGCCTACAATATGATTAAGCCTCACGAGAGTGCTCGCCGTCCCGTCACCATTGCGCCCTGGCAATTGTGACCCTTATTTCATAGAGACCCTACCTACCCCACTTCGCCATAGACTAAACTCTTGGAATACGAGACGCATAGGAAGCAATTAACCTATCCTTCCACAATATATAAATATCGTCTCTGATGAGACGATATATTGCGAGCAGTGTAAGTAACTGACCATGGCTTCGCCACCAGACCTCACCGCAACCATAAATGCCATACTTACTACAACTAGTGACGTGCGCGATTTCTGATTATATCTCATATAACCCTTCACTAAATCATATTAAAGCTTATCACCCTTTTTGATCTCTTCCATCCTCAGACCATGCTATTGCGATTGCGCCTGCCCGCCAACAGCATTGCGTGGCACAAAACCAACACCCAGCTCATCTTAAAATCCGTTGATGGGCAACCCCTAGTCTACCCCCTCAAAGCCTATGGATTCCTCACCGCCGAAGATAAGTTCATCCGTCAGTGGACTTATAATATCCATGGTGCTATAGGGCAAGATGAAGAATCCAGCGATGTATTCATCAAACACAGCAGCCTAAGTCAAAGTTTAGTGGCCACCGCACCTCCACAACAGCATGACCTCGCAGGAAAAGCCATGATCAGTGGCATTGGGAAAGTTGTCAAGGTCAACATTGATAATCTCAATGAAGATGGCGAATGGCACCTCACTCTTTACGCTGAACATGAAGCTTTCGACCCTGAAGTGAGCAAGCTAACATTCATTATCTTAGCTTCATATATCACTACTAATAATATCTCGACTATATATCGTTCAGGGACGAGCAAAGATCCAATTTGTGATCATCTATCAATTTGGAAACTTTTCACCGGAGTTATGCGAAATGAAGGCCATTGAAATAGAATCTTTCATGTACTTCCAAGGCCTTTTCCTTCGTCAAGATGTCGAGACCAAACGGTTAATTGTTCAAGTGCGTTTGCATTTGTTTAAGCCTCTTCTTAACTTTCATGACTTGTTGTCAAAGATGATTACTGAAGCGACTCCCTCTTATCACAGGTGGTTTGTCACACGGTTGTTCAGCTACTGCCTGATACTTAGGTCAACCTCAACCAATGTAATAAGTGTCTGATGTTTGTAATCAGTCACTTATTGAGTTTACAATATAGATCGACAATATCGTCAAGTGACATTGTATCTAGTTAGTTATGATTGCAATCACTCACTCTTGTAGAGTTTCACTCACTCGGTATTTGCAATGGTTCATTTTGTCTTGTCAATGTGTGAATGATTTGAGTCAGGAGGCTGTGATGAGAGGTGTGAGTGTGAAAGACACGCGTGTGTCAAATTTATTCAGATCAATATTTCGTGTTTTGAAGTACAGAGTCACAGTACGATTTCAGAAAAAAAAATCAACAAATAGGAATGGAAATTCCTGTCACTTTTCATTATAGAAATTGTATATGTTTCCACACGGATAAAAGACCCCATGGATAAAAGACCCATCCAATCATTTCAAACCACCAAACTAGACAATTCCAATACCCATGAACTCCATGCCCGGAGGTTTGCTCAGTTTTTTGGAGAGCCACACATTCCTCAAATACACCATTTCTTCCAAGAATAAATTATACCTCAGTGAGTGCATGTTACGGCACATGGAAGCAAAGCCTCCGTACCATATGTTGGTGAGTTCTGCAGCGGACACATTAAAAACCCACTCGCCATGTTCTTGTATATCTGGAAAGAGGTTTGGGTCAGTGAAGCGCTTGCAGAACTCATCACTTTCAGCATGTGAACGGTGGTGAAAGGGATCCACGGGGATAACTGTTCCTTGAAAGCGATGTGAATCCCCAGAACCGTGGTATATGTGTTCAGTAAGTCAACACGCGTTGTCATAGAACACCACCTCCGGTATCCCTTGAGGGAATGTATCTTCCAGAAAGTGCTGAATCGTAACATGAATATACAGACAGTGTTTGTGATCAGTTAAACGATATGTGAGACCAAAGTACAAGGTTGGGACTTTACTTACCTTGACGGCACTGACAGATTCCGAATGGTAGAAAGTCTTGCACGCCAGAATGATACCGCAACACCCAACACAGAGTTGATCGTTGTGCGTGCGGCACCTCGATGTCACGACCTTCTTAGCTTGCGATTCGCCACCATCGCGTGCGCCTTCGTGTGCTCGATTGGACTCGTCAGCTTGGCGTAATCCTTCGAGATCATTGAACTCTGCAGTTTCAGCGTCCAGGTGGACTGTGGGATCGGAGGGCAGGTTGGAACCAGGGCGGTTGAGAATGGCGGTGAGGGCAAAATTTGATTTGACCCTTTCGGTGAACTTAGCCCACGCTTCTATGTGGGAAGGGTCCCCACATGTTTTGGAATTGGAGATAGCATCGCGGCGGCACGGTTGAGCATGGCATCAATTCCCCAAAAGTCCGTAGTGATAAAGACAGAACCGATCGTTGATGTTTTGAAGGCGATTTGTGCAGGGCCCTTCTGGTGGCGGTTGTCCTGAAGTCTTTGCAAGCTCTTCCAGCTGTTTGGTAGAAGCACTGCATCGCCAGTGCCCTATGGTCAACCCGTCGGTGGCCACGGCTCGGATGCCTGTTTGCGAAGTGGTTTTCAGTGATGTTATATAAGATAGATAGAGATAGATAAATAATAAATAATAGACTGATTGACCGAAGTGCTTACCCATCAATATCTCCTCACCCGTCTCAGGATCAATTCCGCCGGACTTCACCCGGACACAGCGACTGCAGTAGTGGTCTCGGAAGCGAGTGCCTTCAACATTGAGTCGGTCGAGGTGAGACGCGATAGCCTCGTCCAAACGAACATCGTCAGTTCCTTTGGCAGGCACTGACAGTTGCATCTGTCGACGATCTTTGTGGCCTAAGAGAGCGCGCAATTCGAGGCCGTCTAGGCACACAGCCTCAGACATAGAGGGCGAAAAGCCCTCATCGAAAAGCGGAATGTCGACCCCTTCCACGTAGATCTCATTATACCAGTTGGTCAAGTTGAAGTGGGAGACGCTGGTGATGATGCAAGAATGATGAGCTTATGAGCGATCCTCGGACAGTAAAGGTGCAATCGGAAATGTAATTGTCTTACTTACTGAGCAAGCATTTGGATTACACGAAACAGGTGGCCTAGCCTGTCTGTGATGTAATAGTGGCAGTGTACGTGCAGAATCTTGTCGTCGCGTCCCATCGGCAAAGTGTAGTAGTGTTGCAAACTGTCGTGGGTGTAATAACTGGGGCAATACGTCGCATTACAGCCTGGATAAGATATTAAAGTATTAAACATTGAATAAGCATTGAAGTCAGTTCGCGAGGTAAAGTAAGTGAGGAGGGAGTGAAGAGTGAAGCCCTACCGGGACAATCCAAAATGACAGTCTGAACCGTATGCACCCCATCTGTGTCAAATAAGTAGCCATTGAGTCGGGTGTGAACGTGTAACTTGCAGGCTTTCGTGCAAACAATACAATGTGAAACTGGTGGGCGTAAGTATGAAAGGAACCACCATAACACAGGTGGTTCCAGTGTCCATGAAATCTGGCGGAGTGACATGACAGGTGGATCGGTGACATCTCAAGGTCAGTATCTGAAAGATACGACGCCACAACTCGAGAGTTTTTCTCCGCCGATCCAATCTCTCACGAATCGTCACGTATTCCGCAAGAATTCTCCCACAATCACATCTGTGATCTTTTTCGTGCAAGCATCATTATAAGAAGCTCAGTCTTACGGAATTATCATTCCACATATACAATCACATCTCAAATTATTAAAAGCTAGAATTCAAGTTTTAACAATGGATGACGCAATTCACCAAGCGGCAATCCGAGCAGAGGAACTACGGATGACACGATCTAGATCAATAGCTACTGGCCAAGCTCCCGGGCCCCCACTAGGCATAACTCGGCGGACAACAAACAGATCGGAGGCCAACAAAAACGTCGACCCAAATTCGGTGTCAAACGTGGACCCCGTTCCGAATGAAGTCGAAAATCTAGATGGAGTGGACATGTTAGACGAGGCGGAAGAAGGTCCCGGTATAGGTGAACTGCATTGAGTAGCGGACGGACCTCTAATCCCATCAGATGCCGAAGACGCTTCGTGGGTAGCCCCACCAGAAAAAGGCAAAGGAAGAGCCAGTAGTAGCGCAACATCATCAAGAGGAGACGTTGAAGGAGAAATGGATCAGGCGTATGAAGAATGGAACCCACAAGGTACGGACACGCTGATCTCTAATTTCCTCACCACTATCCTCTCTATCCTTCCAACCACACAGTTTTTCCGCAAACCCCCCCTCCACACACGGCACACCTCAGATAGAGCGCGATAGGCGCGAGGTGTTTACAGGAACCCGGAAGGGGTAAACCTCGCGGTAGATCCCCAGGAAGCCCTCCCAATATAGCGGTAGACGGAGGGCGGGGTTTTGGCAGTGATACGCAAATGTCCGTAGAGCCAACGAACATGGGTCCAAGAACCCATAAGGGGGGACACGCAGAGAACTCCATGAACCTGAGAGGGGGAGTTTCAAGAAGCGGCCTGATATTTTGATGAGCGATATATTCCCATAACGTCGATAAGCGAAACCTGACAAAGCTTACCTTCAATCGCCACACGTTCAGGATGCACCTTCTCAGCGGATCCCAACGTTTGGGTGACTCAACTGTTTGAGGATGGCCGATACGCGGAAGGCCACGCCCTACTAGAGCAGTTAATGAACCTGGCTCACCCACCGCAGGCACCATACGTAGCGAACGCCGATCAGCCTATACCGAGCGGTAGTGGCACCAACACCGCAAAGCAGCGTCGGTTGCTCCAGGAGGATCCTTCGAGCCCAAGCAAAGGAGACCTACCGCTAGCCAAACGCCCTAGGCCTTGTGGGGCCACAGAGAAGGCATTCCCGGCTGGAACCCAACAGTCTTTGCAAGCTATGGGCATAGCCCAGGGTCAGAGACTACCGGGTGATCGACTGCACGATCAGAACCAGGACTGTCGTCAACAATCGTCAGGAGACCTCTATAAACAAGGGACTCGCCAAGATCACCCTCAACCGGTAGACCATCCGACCCAGTTTAATCACAACTGTTTCCCCCCTCGCCGCCAGACCTCACCATCAGCCGGCAGACCAGATGCGGCACCCCCTCAACGCGACACACCGGCTAACCAGGCTAATCCAGAATTAGAAGACCCAGACGCGGCAGAAGCAGCGCAAGTAAAGATCTTGTTAGCCGCGAAGAAAGGACGGATGGTGTTACACAACGGGGACGTAGTGGAGAATGGACGGTACCTAGTGGCAGACCCCAGCGACGAGATGGAGAAGGGGCTGACACCCCTGTCACCGGTACTGACACACTGGTTGCGCACGTTCAAATCGTATATCCCCCTGACCGTATTCAACCAAATCTTCTTGATCGACGACCAGCAAGAGTGGAGCCGTTGGAAAGCCCCAACAGAGGCCAAGATCGACGACGGTTCAGCATCCTTACGCGTCTATGGGGGCGCACCACCGCCAGAAGAGCTCACAATGCAATTTGGACATTGGATCGACGGCATCAGCCTGTTCATCAAGTACGTAGCAGCGGAGGGTTGGGAGACCCTGGCCGAGAGGTTCGAGGGACACCGGAGGGTAGTGATGGACCTTCGGGAGAACTTTGGCTGGATGATCGCGCTCCGATACTGCCGGCGTATCAGGCAAGGTGTCATGCGCGAAACGTTGGATAACAAAATCAAGAATTTCAGTACTCTGCAATCAGATATTTTCGAAGAGGCGAAGATGACTGCGGACTCACTCAACGAAAAAGCTTATAGGACAAACCCTTACGCACCAGACGGGCCCCTCTCCCACCTCAACCCTCTGACCGGTTTACCACGCACGAACACGACGGCCTCGACGCTAACCACCAGGAAATCGACATACAAAGGCAACAAACCAAAGCCAAAAGAGTCAGTCATAGCAAAGAGGGAAGTCGACTGGATCCCGTCGGCGGAGTGGAAATTGATGTCATCGGAGCAGAGGAGAGACGTGAAGAGAGGGATGAATTTGCCAAACAAGAGACCTTACCAAGGCGTTTCATCAGGTCGATATTATCGAGAAGATGAGCCGTACAGGAATCGGGACCGCGGCGAGGAGAGGACCTACAGGAGGCGAAGCAGGTCTAGAAGTCGTAGCCCAAGGGGCAATAAAAGGAAAAAGCCTGGAGGAGGCAGACAGTAGTAAGCCTAACGACCATCATAGGAAATGAAGCGCACAAATGACGCCGCTGTAACTCAGTACCAACATGAAAAGAAACCCTGTGTACCAATGTCCTGACTTGCCCCAAAAATCTTTGTTTCGCCCCACTTCCACATTTCCCATTGAGCTCCTCCCCAAGGGTCCTAAAAGACCAGACAGACATCAACCCATGCCCGACTCTGCCACATGACACCCAGGTGAGACAGCTGTTAAGCCAGGTCTGGCCAAGGCAGGCTTGATGCGAGATGAACATCCCGTTATGGGAGGCAGAGCTCCTGAGGGCGGGACTCTTGACAAAATACCGTGACATCCCAAGCGGACTAAGAAGCGGTTTTGACCAAGGGGTAGGAAGAGCAGTCTTGCCAAACGTACCTTACTTCTGCCCCCCAAATCACTTGTCCGCTCTACTGGTGAGGGAGAAAATCGAGCAATCTTTTTGAGAAGAGATCGCAGCGGGCCGAATGTTCGGTCCATTTACCAAGGAGGAGGTATATCATCACGTCGGTTTCTTCAGGAAGAGTCCCCTAGGAGCAGTCGTAAACAGCAACGGCTCGACAAGACCGATAAACGATCTATCCTTCCCCCGGAACAACCCAGATCTACAGTCAGTGAATGCATGGGTGGATAAAGAAGACTACACGACGTCATGGGACGACTTCAAGGCAGTCGCACGTTTCTTAAAGATGACAGTAGGAGAGCTCGAACTTGCCATCTTTGACTGGGCAAAGGTGTATCGCCAAATCGCCATGTCTCCAGATCAATGGCGATTCCTTATGATTCTCACCTTTGAGGGCAGCGTACTGCTCGATACGCGGATAGCGTTTGGAGGAGTGGCTGGGTGCGGGAGCTTTGGCCGCGTCGCGGACGCGTGGAAAGCAATAGTGTTGGCACGGTTCCCGAAGTTGCTGGGAGCATTCCGCTGGGTAGACGACACAATGTTCGTCCAAAGGAAAGGTGACACAATGCATCTAGATGAGATCTCAAAGCTCAGTAAGGACTTGGGGGTGGTAGAGAATGAGGAGAAGAGGAAGGACTTCCAGGAGGAACAACAGTACCTTGGTTTTGTATGGAACGGTCGGGAAAAGACGGTGCGACTTCCGACAGAGAAAATTCAGGTCAGGACACAGGAAATAGAAGGTTTCTTGAGGAAGGAGGCCCACCGATATAAGGATGTGGAACGCCTGGCCGGGAAACTGGTCCACACGGCGATGGTGTTTCCTCAGATGCGAGTTCATAACGTCGACATATACCATTGGATGGCCGAATGGTACCATTGAGACGCCTATTGACCCACACCAGAAAGTGTCCGAGCGGACTTGGAACGGTGGCAACAGGTATTGAAATCAGCAGACCCCCTGCGTATTATCCCAGACCACGAAGCCCAAAACATAAACTGGGTGGGCGACGCCTCGACTTCGTACGGGATTGGAATTGTGATTGGTCGTCGGTGGGCGCGATTCCGGTTCTTAAAGGGCTGGAGAAGTGAGATTCGAGGGGAACCCACGAGAGGCATCGCATGGGCAGAAACCGTCGCGGCTCGCCTGGGTTTCTTGATGGTGAAAACACTGTACCAGGTAGCAGGTAAACGCTTTGTGATGCTGACAGACAACTCCGTCACCGAGGGCGCGATTCGGAACGGTAAGTCTAGGGACCGAGGTGTGAACCGAGAGTTCGTGAAGCTACAAGAGTTGTTATTAAGAAACCAGACTCAGCTTGAAGCAAAGAGGGTAAGGTCAGCAGACAATGCGGCGGACTTACTATCAAGGGGTTTAGATTTGTCAAAACATGTGTCGGACATGATGGTGGTTCCGATACCAGCCGATCTGAGACACCTCCTGAAGCAAGGGTGATAGGAAGCTTAGGTGAGCTCCGGCAGACCTTTAAGGCGAGAGACCACTGTTTTTACTCACCTCAGCTCAACCCACCGAAATCCTAATTCGGCTTGCCTCGTAATGGCCCACCTGCCACGACACTTCCAGGAAGCAGCAGCAAACACCTCTAGAGCAGGACGACATGCGGCCATGGGTAGCTGGGTGAATTCGACGCTAGCGGGCTACTCTTCCGGAATGTTGAAATTTGTAGAGTTCAAAATGAAGACAGAAGGGAGTTTCGACGCCGACCGACCGATAACAGACTTGGAAATCTACGATTTTATCGCGTGGGCTAGCGAGTCAGACCCAGCGATCCCAGATCGACCATCTCGAGCAGTCAGTTCGGTTACCGTCAAGAAGTATCTCGACGGAATCCGAGCCTGGCACTTGGTGAAACATGTCACCAGACCAATGGTAGACCCTGGGGTGGTAAAAACCCTCCTGACGGCGTCGAAACGGGCGGAAGAACAGAAAGACCTCGTGACGATCAAGAACCCAGTCATGATCCGCCAGCTCTTCAACCTGGTACAAGGTACGAACCGTCGATTGGAGGTAGATGAGTTAATCGGGACAGTAGGTCTGGTAGCTTTTTGGGGTGTAGCACGTTTAGGGGAGCTGTTAAGGAAGTCGGCATCAGACGGAGCAATACTGCGAAGACACGTCGAGTTTGGAACGAAACACGGTACAAACTTTGTGAGACTTCACCTCCGGAGAGCGAAGACGGCTGCCCCGGGCGAGGTTCAGGTAATTCACCTCCAGCAGCAGCTAAACGTGCTAGACCCGGTATTGGCAATCCGACGTCTGCTAAAACGGAATCCAGGCAGATCACCCAACAACTTATTATTCGAATACGGCGACGGACCTGAATACATTCCCCTGACAAAGACGAAATTCTTGAATGGGGTAGGGAAGATATGGGGAAGACCGAGTATAGGCACTTGGAGCGGCCACTCCTTCCGAGTAGGAGGGGCGTCCTTGAGATTCAACCTAGGAACCAAGATGGAGGTGATAGCGAAGTTAGGAAGGTGGAAGTCACTCACGTACTTGCGTTACTTGAAACCATACTCGGAAAGGGACACAGAAGATTCAATGGCGTTCTTGGCGGCCATCGAGGATCCAACTTGGGTAGAGAAATATAGTAGTGGTATGCTGGATCATGATAACGCTTGATTCAAGTTGGAGTCGCCTGTTTGGAATGAAGGGACAGGACATCAATGAAATCGAAACACAGAAACAAGAAGCCCAAAACCTTAATTTGAGTATAGCTTGAGTTTGAATGAGAGACAGATCGCCAAGTGCATAGAAGGAGCTAGTAGATCGCAGAGCGCCCGTCGAGCGTGGCGGGGTGTGCCTGAGGCTCAAGGCGCACGGCGCGCGTCTGAGGCATGGGAGGCAGACACACCAGCAGCGCTCGACGAGAGAGTGCACCTAGGAGGGTGGGTGGGTCCAGGGGAGGACACGGGCCGAGGTAGCTTTTGGTGTCAGAGAACCAACTTTGGTGTTCCAGAACCAAAGCCCTTGGGCCGGGGCCTTCACCCCCCGTACCCGCCCTCTTGACAGACGTAAAGAGGGCATTTCGGTGGTTGTTCACACACAACACATCTACCTCAAATGAGAGACAGGGATCCGTAGGAGGATCCTGACTCTCAGATCCATCCCAGAGCTAACATAGCGCTTTAGAGAATGGATTGTTCATGGATCGGAGGGGACAAGTTGGATTGGAGACCAAAGGTACGAATGGCGGCGACGGGGTCGAATCGTGTTGTAGGTAGGTAAGGATATACTAAACTCCATAAATCATGCATGAGAAGGTTGGAAAACTGGGGAGATAGCGCTGTGGCAAGGAAGGGTAAGACAGTTGGTCGGTGTGGTGCAAGACGCAGGTCCACTCCTGCGCGAAGTTTAACCTCTGAGGCTAAGGAAAAGAATCGAACGAAATCGCCGACTGTCAGTGTTGCGCTGAGTTGGGGGCTGGTGGCGGAAAGATCCACAACAAAGTCGTGAAGTAGCATCGTTGATGATTCCACTCGAGTGAAGAGTCAAGTGAAGTGAAGTGAATGGTTGTGTCGTAGTGGGGATGAGGGCTAATGATTTGATTCCTGTCACACACCTTTCGAAAAACCACGTTCACATCGTTAACACTCAAGTCATATTGTGATTTCACGGGTGACACATGGATAACGTATGTCCAAAACTATCTAGGTAGAGTAATGTTTTGGTACATGGTAGGTGTTTCCATGTTGTGAGTAGACCCATACACGCCCATGGTTTATGGGAGGTTTGTCCCAGAATCCCAGAGTCCCAGAACATTCTGGGCCACCCCCGGATCCTGTAGTTTACCGTGTCATGGTATGCTTATATAGCGTTATGGGGTTGGGAAGAAAGTTGAAACCAAGGCATGAATCAAGTCGCGCCACTTGTTTTCCTCTGGGAAACCAAACTGGTACGGGAGGACATAGCACTCATTGCCAGGGTGACATGGCTCTTCACACAAAAGCCATTCGGACTTGTCCTTGTTGTGTTTTCCAAAGGTTCTCACTAGGCTATTTGATGTTACCTGAAAGAAATCAATGTTAGTAAATGTGAATGACAGGTCAATATGGATAGATTATTTTGTACCTTTAAGCCTGAACTTTGTGTATGCATCTCGTCTGCGGCAACATGAAGGGCTTGCAAGCGCGAGGACATAGAAGCTACTCTCTCCAGGGCTTCTTGAAAATCTTTCAGCGTACGAGCTACATAAATGTTGGATTTGACCCGCTCCAAAGCCTGAAATTGTCCTAGATTTGGCTTTGATGCCCAATCCTTATGTTGTTTGCAAATCTTGATGTGAGGTAGGATTTTGGTGTCGATGGTCATGTTGTGTTGAATCCAATCGGGAGAATCGCGAGTGAAGTCCAGTGGCTTAAAGGGGCTGAGTTCGAATGTGACTAGGTGTTTGTCCATCAGATAGTCCCCAGCCGGATCAAAGGTGTAGCTATCTCCGTCAAGGATCACTGGGGTAACTAGGTAGTTCCAGCCTCCGTGTTTGGATGTACTGTTGGCTGAGAACATAAAATTGGTGTGTCTTAGTTGTCTTGATAAGTAGATGATCTCTTCCTCAGAAACCTCCAGATCTTGATTGATCAAGGCCCTGTTGAGTGGAGTACATTGTTTCCGAGTTGTTGACAAACTGATTGGAGGCTTTAAGTGAGGTTCAATGATGGTTAAAGTTGTATTGTTAACTTTAAGGTCCAGGGAGGAGGTGCTGGTGGGGATTGATGTTAGATGATCTGCAACCACAGGAGAAGAATTTCCGTGATCACTTCAATGATCAGCACTATCTGGGTTTTCATCAGTCCATGTTGAGTTGATGTCAGGCATGTTATTGAGGTTTGTGTTTTTGTAAGGGTAGATGATTATATGAGTAAACAAAAACAAATAACAGCTAGAAAAGGTAGTTGGGCAAAGATTCAAAATGAGGTGGAAAGTTTAATAAGGGCAAGGCAAATGAAGGATTGCAAAGTAGAGACTGATATGAACTTGGATTACCTCAACATATATTATTCCACGGTGATTAGAGGTTGCAGGGACGTCTTTCTACATCCATCTGATGTAAAACAAAATTGTAGAAGCTACTAAAAGAACAATATGATAATTGATCACTCCAATCAGATGTTGGTTCAATTGTTCATTGGATGTAAAACCACGTCATAGAAGTCACTTGTACTGGGGACCTCGGTGGCCTTCATGTCCAACAACGTATAAACAGGATTGTAAAAGAAGTGATATCTTCAATTATCTTTGATTCAGCCACAAATAACCCAGGCACTTGGGATATCAACATAGCAGTATAGATTGCACTTATGATAAAAGTCATGATCACACTTATTGAAGTGATGTATGAGTTGTAATGTATATATCTCCTTTTTTAAATAATAAAGCAAGCCTATTTACAAGGAATCATGGTAACATGGGGTCTAGAGGTTTACCAACAGTCACATATTCAACATTGCCACAGAAGGTTACTCCTTGCTTGTTTTTTAACCTTTCAATCAATCGGACGTTATGCAATCGGATCATTTCTTCCAAAAAAAAATTGTACTTTGTATATGTCATGTTCCGGCAGATAGAGTCAAAGCGTCCAAACCAGGCATTGACAATTTCAGCCGCGGAAGAATTGAACTTCCACTTGCCATTCCTCTTCAGTTCGGGAAAAATTTGAGGATCATTGTGGAGTCGACATGTTGTATGAGATTCCTTGTGAGATTTGATGTGGAAGGCATCCACCGGGAGGATTGTGTTGCAAACGCGATGTCGATCTTCAGCACTGGTTTGTATATGAGAATACAAACCACATGCATTGTCATAGAATATGACCTGGGGTAATTCTTTGGGGAATAGTTCGTATATCCATTCCTACTTTACCAAATCATGAGTGATCATAAGCTTCTTGAATGACAGCAACTAAAAGTTTAAAGCTCACCTTAACTTTGGTAACCAATTCTGACTTGTAGAAGGTCTTACGTGCAAGGATTATACCACAGGGTGACACCATCAGCTGTTCATTATGAGTTTCACAGTGTGATATAATAACCGTCTTCTTATTCTTGTTGGATTCACGGCCGTCGCGAGCTCCCTCATGCTCACGTTCCTCCACATCTGCAAGTAGTAGTGCTTTCTCTGTGACATCAGCTTCACCAGTCTCGTTCAACAAGATGGCACTAGGGTCAAGATGAAGGTTAGTATGTGGGAGATTCAATCTCCTGCAAAGACCAAATAACGAAGTATTCCGTTCTTTAAATTCTTTGTAGGCCGCCACATGTTCAATATCTTCACACGTATTGGCTCCCTTCTTGGCGGGTTTTAGACAGGGCTGCACTTGACACATTGCTTTGAGTAATTCTTTGTGTTCTGGACAATAGCGGTCATTAACATTATTTAGAGGTTGATCACAATAATTTAATGTTGAATTTGGATTGAGGTGTTGAAGTTGCTCCTCAGACACGCTGCAACACCAATGGCCAATGGTGATCCCGTTGGTAACAACCGCGCGCATGACTGTGGACCATATAAATATGTCAGATATGAAAGTGAATGTATCTTGTAATAGACGACTGACCACGGGCCTCCTCAAAGCTACCTGTGGGGAGAAACTCAGTACATAAGTTACAGACATGTGATTGGAAGTGGGAGCCCTTGTGTTTAAGCCATTCCAAGTGTTGGTCCATTGCTGTGTAGAATTGGCGGTTGTCTGCTCCTCCTGCGTCACTCTTCAGTCGTACACCACGTTCATTTGTGCATCTCATCAAACAATGTATATCCATTCCCAGTGAGCAAACATTCGGACTGATCTTCCGGGTGAATTCCGGGTCTTGGAAATCATTTGAATAAGTTTTAGTGACGGCTGCATGGGCTTGATTGTAGATGCAGAATATATTATATATACTGACTCTGATTTGAGTCATGGATGGAATTGATGACTTAGAAACAAATAGCTATTTATGGAAGAGGTAAATGGATTACTTACACGCCTTGCATTTGTAGATGAGCAAAGTGATCAGCAAGCCTATGGGTCATGAAGTACCGCTGGGTTACTTGGAAGTATTCTGCTGGCTGTCCTTCGCCAACTGTGTAATATTCACAAAAATCATCACGACGCAGGTAAGTTGGTGTGTACGTGTCGTTACATTCTGAAATGGTTGTTGTTGTTAGAGTTTTAAAGGTATTGATTAGTAGAAAGACAAATAAAAACTTACGACGACAGTAACTTGTAAAGTATTGAACACTTTCAATACCACCAATATCATATAAGTAACCATATAGCCTGGGCCTAGCCATTAGGCGTTGGGGCTTGCCAGTTTCAGGATTGATACATCTAGAGCAGTGTGTTGTGGGTGGTCTAAATGTGTGTTCAGTTATGATGATAGTAGCTTGTGATTTTCAATCAGCTGTTGGTATGCCATGCTTTTGAATCAATGTGTAATCATAGTGGCACATTGGAAGGTAATGGTGGGTCAATAACCACAGTCGACTCCAAGTTTCAGGTGGCTGAGCAGGATCAAGACAATGAGTGAGAAATTCAATGGGATGGTCATCACGAGTTGCGACATAAGCGTTGTGATTCCTCTTCAGAAAATCAGCACCCAGAGTTGCGAATAAGATAAGTTGAGCTAATGTTGGACTCTGATATGTTTCAGGGTAGAACATGGCAAGGCGAGTCATAAGATCTTTGACAAGCATGATTATGTGTTGGATTGAGCTGATGAAGAGGTCGAGACACCTCCAACAAATTTCCATCACATCGTGGCATGCGCGCTCTTGTCGCATGGTGAGATGCGATGTGAAATCACACATGTGCCAGGCGATGGAAAGCCTGTGCGATATGACATCGCACAGGTTTCACGCAATCTAACGTGTGAAATCACATAGGTTTGTGTGATCTTACCTTGATGCGATTCAAGATTGCAGGGACTCAGCACGACCTGATCCTCAAGCAATTCGATATCACATCAAGTCAATGCAACTCAACCGCTCAGGCAATTCAACATCACATCAACTCTACGCAAAACAACTGTTCAGGCGATCCAACCAGTCCAATCACATGAATAATATCTGAAGATATCATCTCATTGCTCAACATGAATGCAATCCAAAACCGCCTCCTCTCATGCAATTCCATCCCACAAACAACTTAGTTTCGCCTCTTCCCATCGGATTGAATCCCACTTCCAATCTAGAGGTTGGGTCTACCGAGTTGGCAGGATAAACCACGATGATATTGTGGCCTTGACCATACCACAACCACAATCTGTACATTCCGACGATGTTCTAGCATAGATCACCTCGGCTGCCACTGCCATGGGTAAAGCTCTTCTTCCAACATACTTGAAGGAGGACATCCGTACAAATCTTGGACTATATCCGCGGCTGATATCGCTAAACTCAGAAACAAATAAAAGCGGGCCTTCTGTACCATTGTACTTGATATGCTTTTGAGCTGTCATCTCTTCCAAGGTAGAGATACCCATGAGCGACGCCTGGAACTCTTTTGAATCATACTCAAAAATTTTCACCCTTTCAAGTTATGGAGAGAAGGATCAAAATCTCGTAACGAATCCTTCATTACTTATTGGACCTAATCCACGGATCAAAGGTATTCAAACCCTTAATCTAAACCAGGCCTTCGACATCTTCTTATACCAGGTCAAAGAGATTTGGGATCAGAAAAAGGCCCTCCTACATTGGGATCAAGCTTTGTGACAAGAGAAATATTAAATTGGAGTATTGAGTTACAAAGTTTTTTTGAAGATGATACACACTCAGAAACAAGTTCTTTAGCAGATTATCAAACTGAAAGTGAATTTTTACCAAGATCGATTTTTGAAGATGAAAGTTGCAATAATCTAGAGAAACTCGCGATACCAATAATGGTACCTTAGACACCAGAAAACGGGTGTGAGTCTTAACGGCTCTGAACACCGAAGACAGAAAGACAACAGACCTAAATCAAGGTAAGAGAACAAAATACGAGGCCACCTTTTTCCTCAGTGAACTGATGATAATATTTCATAAGATAAACTATCTAACCTTAGACACCAGAAAACGGGTGTAAGTCTTAACGGCTCTGAACACCGAAGACAGAAAGACAACAGACCTAAATCAAGGTAAGAGAACAAAATACGAGCTATACAAGATTCAGAGTAGAAAAGATGTATCATAGTTCAACAACTGATAACTTGGAATAATGAATAGTTGATAAGAAAAAGAACTTACGCCACCTTTTTCCTCAGTGAACTGATGAGGAGAAAGGAGGCGTGTCTGAGGCTTGAAACAGAGCTATTTGAATGTGATACATTGGTGAGAGTTAAAGTTAGGTTTGACATCTGTATAATTTAGGTTTGAACTATATAGTTTGAATTCTACTGTATAACTGGTTTGACGTGTTTGAAACTGTAGTTTGTATTCTTACAAAAGTGATGATGAAGCAGGATTGATTTGGAGTTAAAGTAGAGGTCGATCATCTTCAGTTGGTGCGGCTTTCACTACTTCGATTTCAATACATCCCATCATCTTATCTACACCGCTTGGAGAAGTTTCATTACTTGTTGATCAGATTGGGTACCGCGTTGGTTATGATCCGAATTTTCTTATGATCTCCTCTGATTTTAATCATAAATGAGAGATGATTCTAAAAGAAAGTCAGATTCTCTTGTTTTCCACTCACTACCCCCTACTTTGTCCATTTTTTCCTTGGTTTGGATCGGGTCAATTTCGATTTCTTTTTTTGAAACAGGCTTTGCATTGGGAAGAATTTGAGTGAGATTTCACCTTTATTGAAACTAGTTCAAAGAGGACAAATAGTATAAATTTAAAATGGATGTCTTCAGTTCTATAGGTTTTTTCACTTGTAAAATTCTTTCTTTATTATGACAACTACATCTTTTATGTTTATGTTTTTTGTTAACAGATTCTTGCTTGATGTTGGAATAATTGTATTTCATACTTTTTCTTGTTCTTCTACTTGACTCTTGCTGAACTGTTGTGGTAGGGAAAAGAGAGTGGTTCAAGAATGCTTGGTCAATTGCACAGCTTGTAACATTTAGATTTTTATTGAGAAAGATGAGATTCAATCATCATGTTGTCATGTGTGTTTGAAAAGTGTCATGTATAGATGATCCTTTGATGTTTGATTATGAAAACCATATTCAAATCTTTCTCTGAACACCAGCTTTCTTGAGCTCAACTTCAGTTCCATTGGAAAAGTGTGGGAATCCTTCAATCATCACAATAAAAAACATATCACAATTTTTACCATGTTTTGTATTTCAAGGAAAACTTGGATTACATGTTTTGAAAAAAAGGAACATAATTCTCCATATGTTTGCTTTTGATGAAGAGAAGTTGAGGAAGAAATGGATTTGGAAGTTCAACTTTTCTTGGAGGGTTTAATAGGGGGTTTCAACTTGGAGATTCATACCTATTTTTATGCTATGACAACTTGCCCATTAGGGGGACTCAGGTCCAATTTGATATGGGGGTGTAGTTGTCTAGTATACCAGAAGACAGAGGGGTTGCTGTGCCCAGTTCTGTAGGCAAGATGAGGCATGGTACAGTACAGTACCCGGTGATTCAGGTACCAGTGCTGTCCAGTACCGGTACCGGCCGCAGATTTAAGGTACTGTATTTGGTACCGTACCAGAAGGAAAAATGAGCCTTGCCGCCCGTCCAGTACCGTATCTAGCATCCAGGTACGGTACTACAGGTATGGTACCAGCCACAAAAGATATGGTACGGCACGGTACCGGTACCAGTGTGGTGTCTGTTGTGGTGTCTGTTGCTACATTGAAATTACTGTAAAAAAATGCAAGTTGAAACCCCCTATTTGCCGCTGTACAATTACATGTAAAAGAATGAGCGTAAAATCAAAGATTTCAGGGTTTCAAAGGATGATAGTGGGGCTCACACCACGGGAATTATTATGTCCGAGACCCAATTGAGCAAAGTTGTGGTGTCCGAGTCCGCAATAAGTCTCAATTTTTGGATTGAAACCTATTAAAGGCAAGGGGGGGACCTTGAATTTTAATAGGTTCCAATCCAAATTTGAGACTTATTGTGAACTCTGTCACCACATTAAGTTTCACATATGATTGAACCTAATAGATGCCTGTGGTGTCAGGTCAAATTAAGGGGTGTTGAGTTTGAGTTTTTTACGGCTTTTACCATAAAACACTTCTCCCGCTGTAGCATAAATTTACGCAAATTTTTCAAAAATGGGAGAAGCAGGGGGTTTCAAGTTCAAATTTTTTACGGTAAAAACTGTAACAAAACTTTCCTGTTGCAGCATAAATTTACGTAAGATTTACGAGAACGGGAAAGTTTTATGTATCCCGTTCTTGTAAAGACATAACCAGGTAATCATAAAACTAAGAGCATCCGCACTCGTTTGCGGTTGTTAATTTGGTCACGTGCGGTAACAAACACAACATTAAGTAAAAAGTTACTTAACTCAACCAAATTTCGCACTCGTTTGCATTAGCAGCGCTGTAACTTTTATAACTTTACAGATAGTGCATGTACTCCGCACCGGTCGTGCAGTAAGGTAAAGTTTTAATTTTTTGAGTACACATCACCTGCTTTCATGGCCAGTTTTCATGTGATAGAGGCACTGTTCTCTTCTTTGCACTAAGATACTAATACTCCATCTACACATGAAGACCCGATATCATCCTGTTCATCTACTCGATCGATAGATCTTAATTTAAAATTACAAATTTAACATGAGTTTGTTCAGATCTTAATACATGAATTCCAATTAAAAAACAAAGGCTTTACTACATCGAGAAAGCTTTTAATGAGTCTGAATACACATAATGATCTTGTAAAAGATTTAAAGATTTAAAACTAGGAAATAAAAATCCAAACTTCAATTTTTAATTTGTATCACTTGATCCTAAAAGTCCTCCAATGATTGGTCTTTTAATGTTGATTTTCTTAAATATTGACCTCTACATAGCTATATGAATCTAGACATCTTTCATTTTCATCTGAATGGTTTGGAGTCGAGTTCAAGATGGTTGATTGACTTATTTCAATTGAAGACATCGATCGGTGTCAAACGTTCTCGAGTTGATTCATGCAACTGTAAGGCTTGGAATTCATCGTGTGTGAGTGGTGAAAAGGAGATATTGGTTGTTGACTTTGGTGTTGGAGGTCTGGTTGAGTTTTGTTTTTGGAGTCGAGTTGCCGGGAACAAGTCGTGATGTGTGATACCGCATGCGTTAGCCAATTGGTAAATTTACCGATTCGCTAACGCAAAATGACCGAAAATTAACTACCGCGGGGCTAATTTTTCACCGGTGTGGAAAAGACCCCGCGTTTGCGGTAAATTTAACCTTACCGCACCCGACTTACCGCACGAGTGCGGATGCTCTAAAGGCACAACCCAGTTTCTTGGCGAAACTGGATTATACCCCTGAGCCCTTAACAAGCTGTACACCTAAGACTCTGACCCCCTTAGGCTCAGCTGTTCCCGACCCCACCTCCTCTCTTCATCATCATCGAAAGAAATCTAAAAAGTAAGAATCTAAAAAACCAATTTGGACACGTCAAACTCCAATCAAAAAATCCAAAACTAAATCAACAAATAATCAAAACCCAAAACAACAACAAGCTCAAGAAAAAATCATGATCATGAGGAAGGAGTAAGGATTGATAGAGAATTAGGAAATCATGTTAAATCATATTATTTCGTTTCACAAGATGATGATCTTTTTAGTGAGTGATTATCTTTTTTGAGTTGATTCTCTTGAAAATCTATCACCTATTGTTTTGAAATCTTTTGATTAGATTCAATCCAGAAGAATAGCTCAGCCATTGAACCTACTCTAGAATATTGGATCAAGATGTATACAGGTAAAGATTCAAATCAAACCGATTCAAACAAAGAAGCTGAAGCGGAAGGCATCACCCTTTTGATTAATTGTATTCTAAGAGTCAGTCAATTTTTTCCCCTCAATAAGCTCGCTCTGATTATTAAATATGAATATTTGTCCTTTTTCAGAAATAGTGTTGTGGTTGTCACGATAGTATAGAATGATATACGAGAAGGATTCAAAAACGTTAGTAAGACACAAAACTTGCAAGGATTTTCCTTATCATCTGGAAAGAAAACCTCTTCTAATACATTGAGTTCTTTTGATTGATCACATTAGATCGCTTTCTAAATAAGTTTAGATTGCAACAAGTTGTGTATCATTTTCGTATTCAGTGGTAAAATTGTAACGGCGCACAAGACAAAGAGTCCTTCTCCAACACGCAGGTCTCACTAATTATTTTAGAGCACAGGACAAGCGTAGAGAGTACACATTCCTGATGAATCAGATTAGATATTGTGGGATATGCTTGGATGTTGGTGCAGTGCTGACTTGTACTTCCAATCAAGTTGATGAACGAAGCGAGGGTTGAATTCTTTATCTGATGGGCTCAGCAAGAGACAAGTTGAAGGTTCACGAGTTGAAGTCCTACGTAGGTTGAAATGGAAAATACTAAAATTCAACGATAACAACTTAAAATTGACAAATTCCAATCTATCAACCTGCAGTCTCATTCTCAGAACATTCCTTAACATCACCTTTAGTTTTGATACACTCAAGATGATTTCAGCTTTGTTCATTCTTAATCTCAAAGGTGAAGTCTTGATCAGTAGGTTATATCGTCCAGATGTCAAGTAAGTAATTCATCAAACTCCAACTCAAACCAATTCACTAACCAATTCTGCCTGGATCATACCAATCTAATCCAGACGTTCAATCGCCGATATCTTTCAAATTCGCGTGATCTCAAATCCAGATGTACGATCACCTATTATCACCTTGGGATCTACTTCATCCTTTCATGTTAGACATCAAAATTCATATTTAGCTGCTGTCACTAAAACCAATGCAAATGCTGTGATCGTCTTTGAATTTCTCTATCGATTGATTAATTCAACTTGCAGTTATTTTGGTAAGATGGATGAAGAATCAGTTAAAAATAACTTTGTTTTCATTTCTGAATTACTGGATGGTAAGTCCTTTTTAAGAAATTTTGAGAGATTCAATGGGTTGACTTTTGATTGGGATTTGGTTTTTCCACAGAGACATTGGATTTTGGGTATCCTCAGAATAGTGAAATTGATACCTTGAAGATTTACATCACCACAGAAGGTGTTAAATCTGAACAAGCTGTCGTTAGTCATCTTTATCGATCTCACATTATACAAACTAGAAGCTAACTTATATTTTTTAAATTATAATCAATTCATTTAAAAAGTGAGAAGATTCATCAAAGATTACTATTCAGGCTCCCGGTGCTACTTCTTGGCGAAGGCATGATGTCAAATATCGAAAGAATGAAGCATTTGTTGATGTAATCAAAACTGTCAATTTGATCATGTCTGCTGAAGGTTAGCTTCAATTACATCTCAGCTGTATCTCTCGATCAGAAATCGATTCTTAAACCTGATACTGACTTTGAGATGTTATTAGGAAGCGTTCTTCGGTCCGATATTGATGGTCAAATCCTACTGCGAGCGTACCTTTCAGGTACACCAGAATGTAAATTTGGTTTGAACAACAAATTAGTACTTGAGAACACGTAAGTTACAAGGCTCCTTGATGAGAAACATGAGCTGATGAATTCGAAAGGTTTGAGAATTAGATAGTGATCAAGCCAAGGCTATGGGTGCAAGTCATGATGATAGTTCAGTGGAATTAGATGACTGTCAATTTCATCAATGTGTCAAATTCGGCCAGTTTGATTCCGATCAAACCATTAGCTTTATTCCACCTGATGGAGACTTCGAGTTGATGAGGTAAGACTGGCATCCTCCTTTCATATGTCCTTGACCAATACTGACTCAATCTTTCACAAATCTGTGGTACATTCATAGACATCGATCTACCCACTCATTAGTTCAAGAATCAATAAATCATCAAGACTGAAACTCACCACCGAGAAAAACTTTCAAAAAACTTGATCGATCTCTTTAAAACATTAATCAATCTATCACATCAAAATTTAATCTAATATGAAACTGATTTAATGAACTCATTACATTTGGAATTCAATCAATTAATAAATAAAAAAGTTTTAGATCCTAAAAATGAAAATCATCATAACACTCGATTTGAAGTGATGAAAGATTAAATGAATGGGAAAAAAGGAAAGGTTTGGTTAGTAATTAGAAAGAGAGTCTTAAAAATCATATTAATGATTTCTTTGATGGGTTAGTCAAGTTACTTTTTTATGGACGATGAAGAAGGAGATTGATAAAGTTATTTTTTTTCTACAGTGTTTTTGTTCATTGATATTGAGACTCAGATCCCAGGATTCAAATCCAATGCACCCAAGCTTTAGGACAATGGATGAATCAACTTCCTGATTGTTTCTTGGGTGGTCATTATCTACAATATTTGGGTTGGGTCTTAGAAGACAATGAGGAGGAAGATGAAGAGGCAGTTCATGTCCATGGGAAAAAAGGTAAAGGTAAAAAAAGAAAAGAAATTGTCTTGATCAGCTGGTCAGAGAATGTGAAAGTAATATCTTTTTGGAAATCAATTTTTCAAAAAATTAAAACTGTTTTTTTATATAGATATAACCACAAGTTTTTAAAAAATAAGAATCAAGAATAATTCAAATTATTAATCACGCCTCTTACAAAATCAATATGTTGTGGTATAATTGAATTTGAACATTTCAATTTGGTTTCATCAAACTTTAATCAGTTTCCTCAGAGAATTTGAGGCATTGTGCAACTAATCAGGCCGGCCCGCGAAACTGACCCGCGCTGGTCATTTCACATGTATTGCCAAATCACATATGTAATTGACAATCACTGCGTGTCTCACACCTCAAACCATCCAGCCGCGCGATAATCAGCAAATCCAATGTGATCTGTAGCAACCCCAAAACGTAAGAACTTCACCATTGCTTTTGACTGCACACTTCCACTTCCAACATATCGATATTTTGAAAATCACCGTTACTAGATACATTGTTGTGTAATGGGCATTTGCCCTCAACCTTAGAACAACAACACTGGCAATCAAAACAAACACGAAGTGGCTTTGGAGGATGCAATGAATCAAACTAATACTTCCATCTGTGCCTGCCACGTGCGCATCCCAGATGACAGACTAAGTCATCCGCTTGCTACCCAAGCAATGCATGGTTTTCAACCGGTGTAATGAAAAGCACACCTTGCGAATATGTCCGTCGAGACCTTTGCCCAGGTGGGATAGATGGGGACCTATGGGATAACATGGTAACCTGTCCAATTGTTTTTGGGCCTCACGTGAATGGTGCGCCTGTTTGAGGGGTTCAAGGATATTGAAATGACGCTGTGTTGACGGATATGTAATTACAAAATGACACTGCGTTGACGGATTTGGAATTCCATATAGCTACAGTATCAAATGTACTGACCCGCAACCCGCGACCGGCGCAGGTCAGGATTTTTGCACAACCCTGCTATTGCTCACAGTTTCCTGATGTATTTGATTTGAGTATTGAAATTTTAATTGGATCTTTAAAAGGATTTTGTTTTGGAAATGAAAAAGAAATTCAATTTGAAGGAAAAAAGGAAAGTTGGCTAAAACTGTTTCAGAAAGTTTCAAAGAGGTTTAGTGTTTTAATTTTTTGACTTTCTTTAATATTTGATTCTCTTTTTTTGATTCTCTTGAAAAATAAGATTGGCTATGGAGTTCATTGCTGATGTTATGATACTTTTTTTTTACAAAAAAGTCATTTGGATTAGTTTTCAATTACCCAGTCCTCAGTGAGTTGCGCTTCTATGCGCCCTTTAGGTCATAAAGTGTTGACTCTCTGAGTCGTGGTGAATCTGTGTGGGACAACTCCCCCCAGATTAAAACTACTCACACCTTCGCGGTCAGAGTAGTTTGTTTTGGGTTACAATTTTATATATGGGAGTGCAAGTCCAGGTCTTATTCAACAAGTTACACTCTTCCATTGCCTCCACAATTTTTTCAGATGTCAGAATTCAAAGGTTTTTTTAAATTTGGTTCTTGAGCATGAGGCAAATCTCATGTAGCGCTCAAATTTGAACGAGTAGGATTCATTCCAAGGGATTATCCAGAGCCGCACCTCAAAATATTACATACATCCAAGGCAAAGACAACTTCAGGTAGCATTCAATTTCAAACTCAATGAGCTGTAAGCCAAACTCTTCCCATCAGATGAGTGAGTACCATCTACACAGGTTCATCACATGTTGGGTTTGGGCAAGTGATTCATGAAAAACAATGGGTGTGGCAACTAGATTTTACTCAGACCAAATGGTTTGTGAGACTGCTTTGATACACCTTGAGGCTTGTCATCTTGGTTTATATTGCAGGGTAGAATAATGGTCACAGCCTTAGATATTTGCAACTTTGTAAAGCTCAAGTGTGATTTCAGGTGAGGAATCAAATGCTAAGCAATTCCTTTAAGATGCCGCAATGATCACACAATACAGCGCAACACCCCAGACCTACTCTGTTTAAAATATGTATATGATTATTCTTATTTCGACCTTGTTGTATCCCACATTCCTCAAGGTCCATCACCAGAGTAATTGACCAACTTGGAATTTCTCTAAACTATCCGAGGAGCTTCTATCTCCATGTGTTCATATCCTTGTGAACCAAACACTGTAGATCTGACCAGACTCACAAGAAAGCAAAAGCAAACTGTCTCAAACTCAAAGACATCATTGTGGGTTTGGCAGGGCAGGTGTCATTGCCACAACTCAACACTAGGAATTGGCGTAGCAGGAGCAATATAATTGGCAACTAAGCTAAGCAAATAGAACATGAGAAGCAATGGGAGCCAAATAATTTGACTGAATAAACCCGTACACTACCATGGATGACAGGAACTACATCTGCACTACCACATAGCAGAGGAACCAGGTTGAAACAAGTATCTTGGGTGCAATGCCGCGGGCCACTGTTCAGTTGTTGTGTCTACCTAAAAATAAGAATCCCTAGCCGCGGTGCCCGCCGCTGATTTGCTAGTTTTAATGTTTACAACATAAGGGGGTTTCAAGTTTGTTTGTTTTTTGCCCAAAATTTATGAATTCAGAGAAGTTGTTTGTAATATGTGTAAAACCAATAAGGGGTTTCAAGTTAAGTTTTTTTACGTGTTTTTACGTTAGAAAATTTGGCCGTTGTTGTGAAATGTGCGTAAATTTTTTAAAACAGGAGACTTTTCACGCAAATTTGTGTAAATTTACTGCTCAGCAGGAGATCTGAAACAAAATTTTTACGGTCCTTTTTTACAAATTAGGGGGTTTCAAGTCAATAAATTTACGGTATTTTACAGTCCAACAAGTTGTCCAATGTTGCAAAATATACCGTAAATTTAAAAAAATCAGGACACCTTTTTAGGTGTCCCAAATGGTGTTGACCGTATATTAAGGGGTGTCAAGTTTGAATTTTTACAACAAAAAAACTATGAGACGGGAAAGTTTTTATGTTTTAACTGTAGAAAAACATTCCCGAGTGTTTATCATCGCTTGTAAACCATGATCAAGGCTTTTTTACTTTTTTGCCTCGATCTTCCACACGGTAATGAGAAAACTGCTGGTAAGAGGATGCAAGGTTGTCCTTGCATCCACTATCAAGCACACCTCTTTCCAAGAGTGAAACGGTCAAATTTAAGTCTTCAAAGCTATGTTGTAAACTTATCTGTTTACGTTTATGCGAGAACGGGATAGATAAAACTTTCCCGTTCTTGTAAATTTTGCGTAAATATGTGCTACAACGGGAAAGTTTTTTACGGTTTTTACCATAAAAAAATTGAACTTGACACCCCCTATTTGCAGAAAAGAAACCCACCGTAAAATTTGAAAAACTTGTCCGTTTTTTAAAAAGTTTCACAAAAAATTTCTGACTTGAAACCCCCTATTGGGAAAAGTTTTTACAGCACGGTACTGTAAAAAACTTTCCCCAATTTTTTCAAGAAAAGGCCACAAAATTTTTGACTTGAGCCCCCTTAATTTCATAAAATTTAAGCAAAATTTTATGCAATTGGGAAAAGTTATACAACATCCCACATATTAGGGGGGCTCAGGTCAAAAAAATTTATGACTTTTATCGTAAAAAACTTTTCCCAATTGCGTAAAATTTACGCAAAATTTTACGCAATTGGGAAAAGTTATATGACATCCCAATTTTTTTTTACGCAAATCTGCGTAAATTTACTGCTCAGAAGGAGATCCAAAAGAAATTTTTACGGTCCTTTTTTACGAATTGGGAAAAGTTGGTACCACACAGTACCGTAGAAAGCTTTCCGCAATTTTTTAAGAAAAGGTTGCAAAGATTTTGACTTGAGCCCCCTTAATATCAGAATGGCTGTATGTAATATCACCGTATCCTCAAGTTGGGACACCTAAAAATGTGTCCCGCTTTGAAAAAATACGCATATTTTACAGCAGGTAACTTGGCTACAACAACCTGCCCGTTGCTGTAAAATATGCGTAAGTTTTTTAAAGCAGGACACCTTTTCAGGTGTCTTGAATTCAGGGGTTTCTGTTGAGATTACCGTCCTCAATGGATCGCGAGATGAGTGTACAAGCTTTGGTATTGTCGTCATCCCAGTTATTGGATCTGTCCTTGACGGCAATAGGTTGGAGAACGTAGCCAAGTTTGGCTGCATCGAGGGCGAGTTCCACCTTGAATTCCCAATCGTGATAATTGGAATCTTCACTAGGTGGACGAAGAGACGTGATACCAGAGAGACGGATCTCTTTATCATCGGTGTTTGAGGAAGCCATGGGAAGATTTACTATCTTCATTCACCTTCGGACCTTTCCAAGACGAAGGATGAAGAATAGTAGAAAAAAAAATTGAATAGAAGAAGATTAAGGTTGTGATTGAGTTGGTAGTAGAGTATTCGAGATAGAGTTTCAGGCGGTAGCCGATGGGCTCATAACCTCTTGAGCTGATAAATCAGATCTAAAGCTGAATCTGGAGCAGCGTGAGATGAAACAGAGGAAAGGTTTAGATTGATCTCATCAAAGAGAAGAAATAGAGAAAAGACAAGAGAAGATATGGATCCTACCTGGAGCAGCGTGAGATGAAACAGAGGAAAGGTGAAGAGAGAAACACCTTTCCTGATGCTGCTCCAGTGGGATTATATAGTGAACATTTGTAGAACTATCACACGACTAACATGTTGTAAAGCACAGCAGAAATCAAATGAGAAAGTCTTGCAGGACTGTAGAGACTAGGTGTAGTCGACGTCGGACAGTTGTAGACATATTTGATATGTCACATATGACAATGAAGAAAAACAGTTAGTCACGCAGGACTGTAAGACTTATCTCAACAGTTTCAAGTTTGTATGATTTTTGTGTGATTTGTACAAATTCGGGCACGTTTTCCAAAAATTTTTTTGCATAAAAACAACGTATTTTTGAAACGGGAGATGTAAAAAGGTCTCCTGTTTCAAAAAATTTATGCACATTTTACGACAACGGCCAAATTTTTGTAACATAAAAATACGTAAAAAAAACTTAACTTGAAACCCCTTAATAAAAGGCCGTTGCTATTTGCAGCCCACACAAAATCCATG